AACCTCAACTTGAGAAATAATAGAAAATTAATTAAAACAAGCTATTTCAACACCTATTTGGAGCCAAGTGTAAGTCAATAAAGACCTGAAATCATACAATGGAATGAAATAAGAGTATAAGACTAGTATTACAAGTGGGACTTGTCCCACATTGGATCCGGATGAAGAAGTGAATCGATATATATGAGTTGGGTGTTAACTCCAGCTAATAGCTTAAACTTTTAAGCCGGATCATTAAGCACCTGACTAGTTAGAGTTGGTATCAGAGTCAACTCCATTTCTTGATTTGGTGTCATGCCAAGTGTCCAATCCGAATGGGTCTGGATTAGCATCTCGGGTAGGCTAGGTGGCTCGACTACAAGTGGGACTTATCCCACGTAGAATAACCTAATAGCTTAAATTTTTGGGCCGAATTGTAAAGCACACAACCTGTTACAACTAGTATGTCACACTTTCAATTTTAAGTAAGGGTAAATTACAATGACACCCCTGAGGTTTGCCCTATTGACAACCATATACAAGTTAGCCTTTTTTTGAACAATAACACCCCCTTGTCAGATATGGATAAGGGTGGCAATTCGTATTCGTGGATCATAATCGTGTCATGTCGACATACCTAAGGGTATTTTACTAAATAGCTCAATCCGAACACTACCCATTTAATAATCATGTCAGGAACTCTCAACACTAACCCGACCTGTTAATTAAACGAGTTACACTTATTTACAATATATATATATATATATATATATATATATATATATATATATATATATAATTTAAATTATTAATAATGCTCAATAAAATAATAAATAATAAATACTAAAAAATATAAGTTTTAATCAACCAAATTACTATATAGCCCTAGTTTACAAAAGATTAAATTATAACACACAAGTTTATATAGTAATTTTAGAATTTAAATAGAAATTTATTTATAACACATATAGTTAAACGTGTATAAACGAGTTACACGGGTTAAATCTTTGAACCCAAATATGACACGATTAACTAAACAGGTTAATCATGTCGACCTGTTTATGACCCAAACCCATTTAAGATCAATCTAAGCCCACTTAATTCGGGTCATATTCTAGTTATGTTGGTGGGTCGTGTCAAATTTTGCCACCCCTATATGGATCCAAACACAGCCTAAAATAGTGTAAAGTGTCTTATTTGCCCTTTAATAAAATATTCATTTTTCATTAAAAATATCAACTCCTTTAGTTAACGAAACTACCCTTTAACAATATTAAACAGGTGTGTAATTTTTACATGTGTCTACCAACCCAACCTTCTGTTTGATTGAACAAGTCCATGATATGGGTTCTTTGGAATCTTCTAAGGCCCTAACCCTTTCATCTCTCATTAACTCTGTAACACCAGTCACTACTGTGGCCACAATATAAAACCGCCACTTGAGATTAATCGGAGCAAATCATCGTTCTGGTCGGTGTTGAAAATGAGCAACAAGGCACGTATAATGAGGAGATCGAGATCAATCAATATCTCGGATTGTATTGAATTTCGGCGCTGGAGGTTTCGGATCGTCATTGTCGAAAGGAATGGGATTGCACTATGCAGTTGAATCGCCACTTTTCTGGCCCCAACTCGTTGTCGGAAGGGGCCACATGCGGCCATCAGAAGGGGCCTCACACGCTCCCATGTGGAGGTTACCGGCTATGGGGATAATGATGGTGGTTGTGGGTAAGGATGGCAGCGGTGGTTATTGGTGGGGATGGCGATGACAGTTGTGCAGTGGGAATAGCAAGTCCACCCCTACATCCGCCCTTGGGTGGTGGCATTACCGATTTTGCTAGTGGTGGGTTTTGTTGTGGAGATGTGGTGGTTTGTTGGCCAGATCTGCAGCAACGACAATTTGTGATAGCAGCGAGGGTCTGCAATGTTGTTAGGCCATCTGCACCAGCCTCTTTAAATTTTGGCTCTCTGAAAATGCTATATCAGCTTTTCCAAAAGCCATGTCAGCAATTTTAAGAGCCACGTCAGTAATTTTCGCTCTCAAAAAACATGCACTCCATCCGGCTCTCCGAATTTTCGCTCTCCACAAAAAAAAAAAAAAAAAAAAAAATTAACAATAATTTTTTTTAACTTTTACTAAACGGCACTAATTAGAATAAGAAAATAAGGATTACAAAATCATATAGGAATAAGTAGATGAATTTGTAATTTTAATTATTTTTTTAAAAAAAATTATATATTTTTTTAAAAAAAATTATAACCGTTAAGGCACTATTTGTGTCCACCAAACAGTGCCGCCAAATGCATTATTTATGGTACACATTTAAAATTTAAAGCAAAAAAAAAAAAAAAAGAGCAAATTTTAAAGGGACAAAAGAAAAAAAAAAAAAAAAAAGATTTTTTAATTTATTTTTGGACAAATAGTGTCTAAACAATATATTTTTTATTTAATGAATTTTATTTTATTTTTATTTTTTTAAAAAGAGCTCAAAATAACCTATTTTTAGGTTTTTTCAAAAAAAAAAAATTCTGCCAAACAGTGCCTTAAGGTACTGTTCAGACACTGTTCCAAGAACCTTTGACAATAAAACAAAAAAGGCAACAAAATGGCGCTGTATTGGGACAGAAAAAAACAAAAAAAAAAAAATATAACGATCGCGAGCCGGCTAGCGGTATTCCGCGAACCGGCCCTCGAGGCAAAGTGGGCCCCGCCCTTTTTAGCTACACCGGTGCAGCAGCCTAAGAAGCCCATATCGCCAAAAGCGGGCTTTAGCTAGCCCGCTGCAGATGGCCTTAAGAGAGAAATTGCATGATAGTGAATAGTAGACGGGCCCAGGTTCCTGTCCTAGTAGATTGGATCAACATTTGTTTATGAAGTTACTTGAATACCCATTTATTTTTATTAGTAGATAGATTGTATTGAGGTTATTTTTGTCAAAAAAAAAAAAAAACTGGGGATCGACAAGTTTATCATCGGATGTTAGTTACACACACACACACATGCACACACACATACATGTTTATTTAGGTTTGAGATTGAATGAAAGGTTAAAAAGGTATTTTATATTTTAAATAAGTCAATTTATAAGTCAATTGGCAATAATATAATTCATCACATGTAAGGTGTGATGGAGGTGCATTTGTTAACTTTATCGAACTTGAAAAGTGTTAATATTTAAAAAGAGGTTAACTTTTATATGGTTATTGGTAGGATGAGAAGGGGGTCTGAGTATAATTTATCCTTAAAGTAATAAGACCTTTCAACTAGTATGTCACTAATAAGACCTCTATAGCAGATTCCCACCCCATTCATAGGCATTCATTGCAGTGCAAATTATCCACAAATGTTTAGTATTACCTTGACTTTCCTTAAAATTTGAGGTACTCAACAATATCTCTATTTAGCATTTTTATGGAAAACTTGTTGGCCAAAATTTATAAAATAACAATTTTGTCCTTCCCTTATTTAAAATGAAATATAATATTAAAAGCACTATTAACTTTTCATACTTGAAGTCACTTTACGTTATTGATTTAAGGGAGTTTAAAGTTATTGATTTAAGGAAGTTTAAAGTTATTAACGTCAAACGGTCTATTGTATATAATTTACTCAAATCTCATAAAAAAAACCAATGTAATTTACCCCGCATACAATAATAAGAATATGAGTACGTTTTTTAAAAAAAATCTATCCCGATATGTTCACTACATGGATATTCTAAGAGTTGTGCTATACACAAGTGCAAGCTCGATCTTGTAAATCTCACAGCAGAGCCCACAAATCCAAGAGTTAAGATTGCGCATTAAAATTTTCCATATTCTTGGTAAATGGTACGAAGTGTGCCCACGCAAGCGACTTGTATCGTCTGAACTTCACAAAGCTTGACAGTGGGACATCAAACACTTAAATCCACAACTAAGCCATGGTCTCTTGATTCAATTCTAACAACCCGTCATAAACTACATAAACTAAATGTATTCTGAATTTTTGCAATAAGAAAAGGTTTTTTTTTTTTTTTATCAACGAGTCAGTGACCTAATGGTATCAGATACCTATTTTTCAAAATAAGGTCGTAGATTCAAGTCTCAATAAAAACATATGTGTGTGAGTAATAACTTAAAAAAATAATTTAAAAGAAAATAAGGGTTAATTTTCAAAGTGTTTTTTTTCATTATTTTTTTAATTAGAAAGAAAAGACATTCAAGTTCCTTCCCCTGTGAAAGCGATTGTCAACATGATCCATCCTTATTCTTCAAGATGAGTCCATATTCCTAAGCAGTCCTGGTAAATAGGAGGATTATTCCCACATCCCAAGAGCCACCAAACCAGTCCTTGCCCGCGCATCTCATCTCATATGCACATCCGACCATACCAATGACACCATCATAATACCCTAGGGAGTATTTAACATTGCCAGAAGAGATTGATAAGACTCCCATTGGAGAAAATCCAATTCTAAATTCGAGGATGAACACACTTTATTTTATTTTATCAGTAACTATGAAGGCACTTTCTGTTGCAGAATATCAGATAATACTTTGAGACAAGCATATCACAACCTAAGTCACATACACACAAAAAAAAAGGCAAAATCTAAGTCACACATAGAAGCCACACGCAGAACATGAAAGCGGGAGAGCGCACACAGTGTCAAAGAAACAATAGAACCAATAGACACCACCCTGATGGTGATGAACAAAATGGTTGCTGAACTGTTCCAACCTTGAGGAGGAACGGAGGATAAGGCAGTCACACCCTAAATGGATATACCTAATGGAATTTCCGAAGGCAATAAGATTCCATATTTGTAATTTTCTGGGGAAATAGCAGTCAGTCATTGAGCAAATTGGATGTCTCTCAATTCAATGTTGGAACACAGCCGATTACCACAGCAGATGAGATTGTTTGCCCTTCGTCTCTAAATCACAACATTGAATCAACTGAAGTGAGATCCATTTATTGAAGAAATTATCCAACAATTTTATATGGAAAAAGATGATGCTTGAAAAAAAAAAACACATTAAAAACATAATAATATAATTTATTTATTTTGGATAAGTGAAAACATACTAATATAATATCTGAGTATATAGAAAATGGATGACAGTACATACTTCCCTTTTCTTCTTTCCCTCCCTCCCATTGTCTCTTCCTTCTCTCTTCTTTCTCACCTCTCTCTATGTCCCAGCAAAACACTGCAGTCCGCAGCAGCCGAGTAGCTTCATAACTTCTCCAAAATCAGGTACTTCCCAGTGGCTTTCATAGTGTGATAAAGGTGATACTGAAAAGCCAACATGCCACAGCCTTTCGTGTATCTGGATTTTTTCAACCCAAGCAAGAGGAACAAGGATGAATTGAGGATGAGTGGCGTTTATGGAATAATTTAACAAGAACCTTTCGAGATTTGCAGGCATTGATAACTACTCTCGACCAATAGATGCCAAACATTATACAGAAACCATACATAAAAAAAGCTAGATACACCATCGCCTCAAGCCCACAATGCTTCAAAACTTCCTTGATCTACCTCTTGAGAAAATCATCTAAAGAGAATGGCGGAAGCCCATCCTACAAAATCACAAATATAGAGTAAGGAACCACTCCATGCCCATTAATCAAATGCATTTACATCTCAAAAACTGCAATTTTGCGGCATAATCTCCAGCATTAAAAGTTAAAACGAGAAACAAGTTCACTGTGGAATTGGATTCTCTCCCACGGCAAGTACAGAAAACAGAGATTTAAAAGATGAGCAGCAAGCAAATTGTGATCTAAAGCAACAGAACACATTTAATATAGGGTAAATTACCCTGACCTCCCCCCGAGGTTAGGGCTAATTGCCACTCTGGCACCGGTACAAGTTAATGGGCCAAATGGTCATAACCTTTAATGTTCATTTACAACTATGTCCTCCATTTAGTAATCTTATTAAAAGAAAAAAGAGAGAAAATATCAATAAAATAAATAAATAAAGGAAGCCCAAACCACCACCTCTCCCTTGATCAGCATTCTTCTCTCTAAGCCATCGCATCGACCAGCGCCTCATTCAACAATCAACCCCCTCTCTCTTCTGTCACATTCTCTCTCTAAACTGCCTCCACCACACCAGTTGTAGGGCAATTAGCAGTACCCAGTGAGAAAACCCACCTTTTCTTTTCTCTCTTTACACACCTTTCTCATACTACAACATCACCACCGTCTGAATCACCGTTACACCACCTCACAAAGAACCCAAACTCATGAACAACTTGAAACATACATTTCTTAACATTATACCAAACAATCCCAATATAAAACCACCACTAATTTGCTGAAATTGCCCAGTTTTTTGTTCACACACAAGCAAAAAAGAAAAGTTGAACTCGGTGCTTCTGGATTATTGTAACGGGTGGACGCTTTCCCATTTTTCCAAAAACTTAAATTATTGGGTAGTGCTGCATACCCACCCATTTATACCCTTTTCATTTTCCATCCAGATCAATATAGGACATATACACCTTGTAACATTCTCTCCCACCCAAACTTGCAACGCCCTCGTTGCAGTCGGGCCACTATGCCTATCCGGGTGATTCACCCGGATGCCTTCCGGGCCGAGCGTTTAGCGTGGCACTGGATTAAGGACTGGGTCTAACTCTGATACCAACTATAACGGGTGGACGCTTACCCATTTACTCAAAAGCTTAAGTTGTTGGGTAGTACTGCATACCCACCAATTTATACCACTATCACTTTCCATCCGGATCCGATGTGGAACAAATATCCCTTATAACAATTACCATGTTGGATGCGGTCTACCACTTTGGCCTCCCCAATTGCCTAGAGATCTAGAAAGTCCAAATTGTGAACAATGATGCCCCTCCTTTTCCATTGGTGGTGCCAGGCTCATTGGAGGGATTACTGTTCTTTACATAGAATTCTTTTATATCTTTTCAGTATATATATAAAAACTAAGATAAGATCATGAATTAATAAAGGGTGAAATGCTCTGACACCCCCTCAAGTTTGCTTTTATTGCTCGTAGATTAAACTTGGTTAAAAATTGCTCTCAGACCCCCTTCTTGACGGAAAAAGTGATTTTACCATTATACCCATGGCTTTATTTAAGCTCCATGCTGACATCATTGCAGATGTGCTCTCTCTCTCTCTCTCTCTCTTATCCCATATTGAACTTGACCAGACATCACTCACTAACCCAGTCATCCTCCAGAATCATTATTCCCAAAATGGGTTTCATATGAACCCTTCTTCACCCTCATTGCCATGATCGCTTTCTGGGTTTTCCAATCTTTGGAGCCCCAATAGTAACTTGAGTCCTAGACTAATTCCGTGCCATCATTAACGGAACAGCCAACGGCGCTTCTGGGTCATTTTCATCTTCTCCAAACACTTCATTTTCAGCCCCATTTTATGGTGAGAGAACTTGTAATTATCTTAACGACGAGTACTCTAATCTTGAAGTTCACAATCAGTTGTTGTTTCTGGACTTATCGATAATGGGTTGGATTGATTTGAAGCTAATTTTGGGAATTTGATCTTTTCAGAGTTTTGGGTGGATTTGGAAGCAGATGGCACTGTGATCGCCTACGTGGCGAAGGAATAAAAGGGCAGCGACGGTGGGGGTTCAGAGGGAAATGGTGAAGATTTTGACGGAAATTTTCGGAGATCCATGTTGAGAAATCTAGGTTTTTGGGTTCAGAGAGGCGATCTAAGAGAAGGGTTGTTTTGGATTTGAGATGGGTTTTGCAGGTATGGTGTGTGAATCAATAACCCAGAATTCAATAACTGTTTTGAATATATATCAATCTTTTAGATGTTTTACTTTGATAATTACTTTGAATTGGTGCGTAAATACCATGACATACTTGGTTCATTACTTGGTCTTAAGTTCATTGTTGTGAACCATATGCTACCTAATGGTGTTAATTCTTTTTGAAAACCAACCTCAGTTTTTTTTTTTTTTTTTTTTTTTTTTCGTAAAATAAAGGAGCTAATTTGAAAAAGCATGAAAACAGTAGCAGGGTATTATTTCGGCAGTGATACCAATCAGAGAGTTAAGGTAGATTTCTGATGCTAACCTTTCAAAGCTGATATGCAATGAAAAAGAAAATGTTAAAACAAAAATATTGGTTTGTTGATTTCCTTTGCCTATCAATTATTTCTTAGAAATCAATAGTATTGCTTTTGAATTTGGTCTATCTATGAACCTCAAAGCTTGAATGAACTGAGAATTGAACAATCTCACACACACTCACTCTAAACTGTGTGTGTAAGAGAGAGCGTAAACCTAGAGAGAGGGGGAGATGCAGCGATAGAAAGTCGAATGTATAGGGAGAGAAACCCAAAATCTGGAAGTTCATACGGAGGGGAAGAGTGTAAATTCAATATTTAAGTAATAAGATGTGAGGGGCATAAAGGTCTACTAATTAAGGGTAAAAGTGTACATAAAACAATGGAGGGTAGTTTTGGTATTTTATTTTTCAAATTAGCTGACTTTTTATTTCACTGGCGGTCAACTAATAGAAGGGGGTGTCACGGCAAAGTTAACCAAACTTGAGGGTTTAGGTCTTCTTTCCACTAAGCATTTTACCCATGAATAATAAGTATTTCTTAATCAATGCGTACAAAAATGTGTCTAATTTTGGCATATAATACATATATATATAAATGGATAAAAAGATATCTATTTATATATATTTTATATAAATGTGGATTCCAAAAATAAAACCTATTGAGATTATTTATTAACTTTGTGGGGCTACTTGTTAATAAAAAAAAATTGGTAAGTAAATCTTCTTAATATATTTTAATATCTATTCATAAGGCACTATTAAGTAGGGTTTTCCAAAATTTGGGGGGGCTAATATTTTTTTGGTAAAGTAAATCTTTTTAATATTTTAAATTTCAACTATTTAAGGATCCTATAAAATAGGAATTTCAAAATATTTGCATAGTCTCCACATAGTTCCACCCCTGTGGGCAATGGAGGTGGTGGTGGATGGAGGTGGTCACAAAGGAGGGGTGGACAGGAGAGAGAACAAGAGAGGAGGTGGACGTGGGAGGAGGAGAGAGAACCGAGACTAACTTCTCACAAGCTACACTAGGAAATACGAAACCTAAATGAAAATGATCAATTATAAGCAGCCTTTGATAATTATATATATATATATATATATATATATATATAGAGAGAGAGAGAGAGAGAGAACTTCAGGCTACCTTGCCATGCTCTTGATTTAAGCATTGTCTAACTACTACTGTCTGTTGTATCAGCCTCTCCACTGCTGAGTAGCTGGGCAGGTTGGCATGTGCTGATAATCCCGTAAGTTGCAAGAAAAGAGCATGTTAAGAGGGTTCAATATAAAAGAAACCAAAGATACATATAGAGGAATCACCAAATGATCTTCACAATAAAGATGAAATGGAAAATAAAACAAACGATTCCTATGAACAGACATGATACTCGAAAGCGGGTTAAATTTTCAAAAGAACACACCAAGAATTGCTCTATTCAAACTGTCTGCAACATACTGCCGATACTCCGAGCTAAGAAGATGAAACATTGGTGATTTTTCTGGTTCCTCATAAGCAAGAAGAGCCATAAAGTCCTGCAAAAACAGTAAAATATTCTTTTTAATCCAACGGATATCTAGACAAGTAAATTGGAAATCCTTAAGCTGACTTGATAGGGAAAGAAACATACTTCAAGCTTCTCAACATATTTTTGCACCTTCCCAAAAGGAGTCAACTTTGTCTGGGCAAACTCCAAAGCTTCTGTGCTGCCACAGAAATGAAAATTTCAGTTAAAAGGAGTTGTTGAACTCATAACTTGAAGAATATATACTCTACTTACCATTTCCTAGAGCAGACGAGCTCAACGAAATGAAGGCTCAAAAGATCAAAATGCAAGTCCTTATCTTTATCGAGTAGGTCAGGTGCAAGCTGTTCTGTCAGTTCAATGGCCTTAAGTGCATTCCCCTCCAATGCAAATTGAAAAATTTCTGAACATGAAAAAGTAAAATTAGTGTGCATAAAGCAACCATCCCAAATAAATAAACCATACGGAAAGGCAAACGCTAGACAAAGGCATCAGAACGTATAAAGAAATATGGAAACAAATTGCATTATGCATATTATAACTCTGTCTCACAGCACATCAAATTAGAAAATAATAGGCATTGTCTTCCACTACATTGTACACCACCATTCAATTTGGCTGATATGACTTGCAGCCTGCTGCTGCTACCAAACATCCAATGAGCTATTTAGCAAGGTGACAATGCCTAAACGTGATTCCAATTTTTGTGTCCAACGTGCAAGCATTAGGCCAAATATAAAGATGCGTGAACTAGCAAATCTATTCTTCACTATTACATGCCCCCCCTCTCTCTCTCTCACACACGCGCACACAAACACCCGTATATGTAAGTTAAATGTCATGTGAAATTTTGAATATAGAAATTTGATTAAGATAACATTTCCACATGCCACTATTCTTATGAAGATACTTCCTATTGTACTTCATGTATGAATCAGAAACAGTAAAGACTTTGACACATTTGGCCCAATCTGCAAAGTTTTAGACAACTAGGAGAGCCGATCTGACAGCAACCATGACATTGTGAATCTTACTCTTCTATCAGAAATTTAGAAGAAAAAGTTCACCTACGTTTTCTTTTCTGCATGTCCTCGAGATGATTGGCAGGCTGCTTCATCCCAGTACAAGAAACAAATGACTGCAAAGTCTCTTTGTAGCAGTTGTGCACAAGATATGATAAGACAATGTTGTGGATGTCATTTTCATTTATAGCCTGTCACAGACACATGAAAACACAGTCCAACAGAATTTAAAATAAGAGCCAAGTGAGGAGATTCCATAACTATGCATCAATTAGATTACTCTTTTTCCGGTATTTCACAGTAGGAACTAAAACATACACATCAGACGGACTCATAAATCCAGGTACAATAGAAGCAACAAGTCCAGTCCCCAGATACCACATAAGGTGTGTTCGTTTCAACAGAAGTAATCAAATAAAAGTAGTGCATTAATGTTGTCGATTGAGGAATCAATTTTTATATCTGTAAAGTTGGTATGCTATCTTGTACTGGTACATATTTGATGTGAAAGAGATTAAGCAAAGCCTGCCTATCACCAAGAAGCAGCATTCTGAAACAGGTGAAACCAAGATATTTTGCTGCATTTTTCTTAGAAATTTTGGAAAAATAAACTAAAATCAAAAGTCAAAACAGGGGACAGTATGTTCTTTGTCATTAACTCAAGAAAAACAAAATGTCATGGTGTCACCAGAATCCAAAAATAAACTTGCTAGCTATAATTAATGTGCTCACTAAGCACTTTAGGCCACGTCACTCCAAAAGTGACACATATCTTTCGTATAAGCACTTAAGCCTTCCCGTTTTCTTTTTTCCATGTTGTACATGACTGCTAACAATTTGCAGCATAGCAAACCCCAATATCCAAGATATGCTTCTCGGTTGAGTTAGAATTTTACGTTAGAGACACAAATATGTATGCACATTGACCAATTGGTAACTAAATAACATTTCATTGTATTGACATCATTGAGTTAGAATCTCCAGCAAGAGTTTACTTGGGAAAAAAAAGAAAAAGAATCTCAAGCAAGACTAATATATTAAAAAGTTCCACATCACTTTACTAAATTTTTACCACAGATGATTTTACTTTGACCATCCATAAGCAACATCGGCAAAATTAGGAAATCAACACACAGCATTTGTAACGTGTCAAACCTATCATTAGATGGGTCCAAATAATTTAGTTGTACCCAAGAATAAACATTCTAGCATGAATTTGGACCATCCAATCTAAGCAAAATGTTTCATAAACTCTTCCTCTGTGGAAATAGCTAGCATCCAAGAGAAACGGAGGCACTTAGAGAATTAATAACAGTCTATGTCATATGAAGTCGGCTGCGTGTGTCTGATATGCATGTGTGTCCCAGTATCAAATTAATCAAATCCTGCCACTCAAGGACACTAGGACCTGACCAAAAATATCATATTTTTTTGTTTATCTCCTTTTATTTTTTTGAGTTAAAAAAAAAAAAAAAAAAAAAAATCTTAATGTAACATAATATGTTTAACATCAGTTCTTCGCTCGTTTTGAGATAACGCAACAAAAGATAAATAACAAGATAGTTATATGCAGAATTGTATGGTGAAATTTAATAGTCAAATATGCCTGGAAGGTGCAAGCTCAACCAAAAATGTCATACATATACTCTATACTCATATCCAAGTGCCCCGTGTTGGATGGTTACTTCACACATTTCCAAGAATCCAAGAAACATGGATCATTGTTCAAAGGTAAAGAAGTTTTGTTGTGACAGCTGTCAAGACAAGTAAGAAACCATATTCTTACTTGAAGTAGTAAAGATTGCATGTCAGTAGTCCCATATTCTTCTCGAACTAGTGAAAACAGCAAAAACGTCTATGATGTATAGTTCAAAAATAAACCATGAGTCATGCCACTAGCAGAATAACTAATGTAAAAGCAGCCTACGCAATTACCAGGGACGACTTCTCAACCAACCTCCAACGTACCAAATGGAAAATGACTTCAATAATTATTGTATCCTTGGGTAAAAGTATAAAGCAAATTTTCTCACTAAAGAATAGTTTATTTCAATAGTATACCATGCAATGCCAGGTTGTTGAGGCTTCATTACAAATCATGTACTACAGTTATTGCTCCCTTTTCTTTTCTTTTTTTAAATAAAAGTGATTGCTTATAAAAACAATAAATAAATAAAAGTGATTACGGTGTTGTTAGATAAAACTAAAAATTAAGCATTGAAAATTTTAGAAGTCAAATTTTAGTATAAATTGTAAATTGAGAATCTATCGGATACTTATTTGAATTTAAGTGTTTACTGTGTAAAAAGTGATTACTCTGTTGTTTGATAAAACTAAAAATTAAGCATCGAAAATTTTAGAAGTCAAATTTTAGTGTAAATTGTAAATTGAGAATCTATCGGATACTTATTTGAATTTAAGTGTTTACTGTGTAGTGACAAATAAAGTCTCCCTCACCTAGAACTTGACCCTATTTTTAAGTAAAACTTCTTTTAAGTGATATCTAAATTGTGTTACCAAAGACACACAATCATGCACTAAAATGAGTTATAAAATAGCGGCCAGGACAGCGCAAGATGATTCAAAATCATCGTCCAAACTCCATGATTGAGGTCAAGCTAATGGCAAAATATCTGAATTTAATGTATACCATAAGCACCACAAATGGACCAAGATTCCAAGACCAAAACCTTTGTCTTAAGTCTATGATAGCGACACAATTTGTAGAAACTCATTCATCCCATTACCCCATTGTGCACTTTTGTTCTGTAAACTCCTTAACATTGTTCTGACCCTTTAAAAAAATGTCAAAATTTCATGAATCATCTAACCCAACCCAACCCAATAATGAAAAACTATAACCAACATTTCTTCAAAAACAAAATGCACCAAATTGAAGTTAGAATAAAAATAAAGAATATATCACCTCTGACCCTCAATAATCTCCACATCTACAAGTTAAAATTCAATAAATATATCAATCAACAGAGTATAGCATGTCATATAAAACAGAGTGGTATTATAATCTCACTAACATGCTAAAACCAACGAAAACCTGAGGTGAGAACAAAAGAAATGAACCTAGGGTTTCGATATTTGATCTCAAGAAAGTCAATAACATCTAAAACATTTCTAATTCAACACAAGCGATCAAAAATTAAGAGATAAATTAGAATATATATATATATATGTACATATGTATGTATATATATGAGATTGTAAACACATAATATTTAGATTGAATCAAGAAAAAAATACTTACAATGTTTTCGTACTGTCGCGGATCTACGTCCATCTAATCACTGCCTTTGTAGTTTCTGTAAAAAGTTAATCGAATAAAATAAATAAAAATCAGAACTTTGGAGACTTGAGAGAATTAACAAGTCGACGGAACTTCGATGGCAATGAGTACATGTGTGTGTGTTTGCGTGTGGTCGACCAGTTCACATCAACCTCTTCTTCACCTCTCTCTCTCTCTCGGGTCAATTTTGATGGAGAGACAAACCGTTACTTTTGCTTTCTCAACTCTCCTGTGTTCCCTTTTACTCCATCCGTGGCTCACAATTTTCCAATTCACTTATTTTTCTATTATAAAATACTCCGATAAACAACTTTGCTTAATTTTGGAGGGTTTTGCGTAATATGTAGATCTGCCGACAGCAACTGGTTGAAAAAAAAAAATTAAATAACCGCTTAATTTCTTCAAAAACAACAAATATTATTGTAATTTAGAAAAATAATAAAAGTCTTGATCATGTCAATTATTGAGCTCAATTTTTTCCAGAAAAGTTTTATTAAAAGGAATTTTATTTTGTAAGGTTAAAAAGTAGTTCCGAAATATAAAGTTCTCTTAAATTTTAGTACGTATTTAATTATAGGTCATTTTTACTGTTTGTAACTTTATTTTATTATTTTAATACTCAGCTTTCGAATTTATGTTACAAAAATAAAAATAAGGAAAAAAAACTTCTTTTTCTTCTTAAAAAAAAACTTCTTTTTCTTCCGAATTTGAACATTTTTTTATGACACAAAATGTAATGGTGGAAAAATAGCCCGAACCCCACGGGCCGATCCAATGGCGGCGGGGCCTGGATAAGGCCTGGGTCAAATTTTCAGCCCAATATCGGGACAGCCAGGCCACACACTGCCCAGCGCTAGTAGCCCCTCTTCCCAGCCCATTCCCCATGTGACCCAATACCCCCAAATCCAATAAATTCAAGATATTTCTTAAATATGTCACATATCATGTGCATGACATGTACCTATAATTGAATTTAAAAAGAAAAATGAATAGTGAAGGTCATTTTTTATGGTAAGTGTATCTACTTGGGTATTATGAACCATTTTCTGAATTGAAAAGAAAATTAATATGTATATATATGTGTGTGTGTCTCTCAAGAAGTTTTGAATAATCACTGACTGACTTTTGTTACGATTCGTATTTACTCGGTGAATCGGTGATGCAAGAGGCCGGTATTTTCTAGACCGGCCGAATGAAGTCCATTTCAAGATAAAGATATATAAAAAATAAAAATAGAAACGGCAGACCGAACTTGAGTTTTTCCAAATTCGTTACGTCTGGCTCGGTCTACTCACCAGTCAAAGTTAGGCATGTAACTTAAGTTGGATAATCCGAACATAACCCGAGTCCAAACCAATTTTTCACAAGTTTGGATACAGTCACGGACCATGAAGGGCTTGGTTGGGGCAACAACTCCCATTGAATTTTTTTTATTCGCAAAATTACCTATAAATTTTATGAAAATCTTTAAAAATATTTCTTTTTTTTTTTTATAGTAAAAATCTTACAAATGTCCCACTATTTATTATTATTGTTAAAGGTCGCTCCCATTATTATATACAATGTATCACTGCTTAGACAATCATTTTGACAATTAGGGTTAAAAAATTTTAACTCAAACTTAATTAGGATTGGGTTTGGGTTAAGGTGCTAACAGTCCGAACTTGAATTCCAATATTATTTTCACATATATATATATATATATATATATATATATATATATATATGTTTATTTTAAATACATTGTATATAATATTCAAGATCACCTTTTTTTCATTTCAACTTCATTTATTAAATCTTAATTTATTATATGTTAATATTTAGGAGAATTAATTTTCTAAGATTTTTTTAGTAATTTATTAAAAATTGGCAGTAAGTTTTTACAACTTTATTTGTTTATTTAAGAATAATATAATATAAAAACTAATTAAAGATCACATTAAAATTTCAATACGTGTAAAGATTCGGCACATGAGTAATCCGAATTAACCCGAGTTTCTAACTCGAAATTTAAGTTCGAGTTGCAAATCTAAGTTTAAGAATAAAATGATGGATTGAACTCGAATTGAATGGATGGGTTAAACATTTTATTTGTCGGGTTGGGCTTAAGCTAACCCAACTCGACATATACCTCCAACTTTCCTAATCCAACCACCTGAATTGCAGTCTTAATCAAAACCAGGAGGGCTCATGCTTGGGCAGGCCTGATTTTCCAAAATTGCGAACATGTTCAGCATAACCTATTAATGAAACTTTGTTATGAAATGTTGGAAATGAAAGGAAAAGAAAAGAATGGTAATGAATGGGAAAGATAAATTGTGTTTGATATGAAATGTTAGAAGGAAAAGAAATGAAAAGAAAAGATTTAGGGGATACAATAAGGTTGGAATAATAACTTTTATTATCCTTTAAAAATTGAGAGGAATTGGGGGTGGGGGGGGGGGGAGGGGGGATAATCTTTAGCAAAATACAACAAGCTTTATTAAAGGAACTAATGTTACCTCGTGTGTTTATCTCACACATTTTTTTTTTTTTTTGGTACCAATTTGACAATTGATACACAACCAAAGTGATTGCCAAATCATGATATATATATATATATATATATATATATATATATATATATTTTTCCCTTTTTGTTGTTAATAAAGAATTAACTCAACGACTAGTTATGTTTAATATGTACAATCATTTGTAAATTTTAAATATGTGCAATTATTTGTAAAACATACATATTATTTAAATTTTGATATTTTCGAGACACGTGAGAATCTAACTCAAGGCACCTATGTCCAATGCTTGTTTTCGTAGCAATTTGATATGAAGCTAAAAAAATTTATCATATCAACCATAAACTATCTTTGACTGTTAGTGAATTTTGATGGGTTTGTTTATTTTAAATATGTAACTGGAAGAAAGATAAGTGTAATTATTTAAAATACATAAGAGATAAATGTAATAAATTTTAATCCAAAGAGAGGTAGGTGTGATTTACCTAAAAATTAAACACAATCATGAGTGATAAATATAATAAATTTTAATCCAAAGGGAGGTAGGTATAATTTACTTAAAAATTAAACACGATCATGAGTTCAGATTCAAAACGTTACCAAAATAACTAAACTGGATGCACGTGTTTGACACACTTATGCTATCCGGAAACGTGAGGCTAATCTGGTTACGCATGATGAATGTTTTAGGTGGACATAGATTTGTCTGAAATTTATTTTATATTATCAAATATATATATATATATATATCCCAAAATGCTTGAAAGAATATATCTATATATTAGTGAGAAAGTTGCATCTAAATTTTTTTGTCTGTATATCATTACTCCTATTAAAGCGATAAAAACATAAAGAAAGCACCTGTCTGTTCATCAATTGGTCAGCTCTTTCAAGCATTTTGGGACAAATTTCCAACTTTCAATCGACAAACCGCAGGATTCTCTCTCATTGCTCCTTGGTTCACCGCACTCTTTGGAATCCTACCCAAAATCTGTCTCTCTCTCTAACTCTTTGTCTCTCATATATGGGTTGTATATGTTGGTTTCTGGTTCTGACTCTGTTACTACACATCCCCGTATCCATATCTTCATTCACATCCGATCTATTCGACGCTTGGTCTCAACAATATGGCAAAAAATACTCTTCAGACCAAGAAAAGTTGTTCAGACTGAGAGTGTTCCAAGACAACTATGCATATGTTAGTCATCACAACACAATGACTAATTCCTCTTATACCCTCTCTCTAAATGCCTTGGCTGATCTCACCCATCACGAGTTCAAAGCCTCACGCTTGGGTCTCTCTTCACGACCAGCTAATAGATTCAATTCTGGGTCATCCCGAAAGGGGTATACTGAAGTTCCTGCTTCACTAGATTGGAGGAAGGATGGAGCAGTCACTCATGTCAAAGACCAGGGCAGTTGTGGTATGTGGGTATTTCTCTATATCTTTCACTTTTTAAATTTCTGTTGCTTTGCTATGTATATTATAGAAATGTGTTCATATTGTGTTTTTGATAATCTGTTAACAAGGTGTGTGATGAAATTTTTGTCTTAAGGGTCAAAGTTTGATTCTTTAATGCTTCATCCGCTAGATTTTATTTATTGTTTTATTTTGTGGTGTTCTGTAAATGTATTTGGAACAGCAGTAAAGATGGTTACATTTTGATATAAATAAACCCTCTTTTCACTTGATTGGCCTACTCTTCAACCTATGTACCATTGATCCTGGATTTTCTTTCCAAGTACTTAAAAAAAATAATAATAGTAATAAATAAGAAGAAGAAGAAGAAGAAGAAGAAGAAGAAGTTAATCTTTTCACTGTTTGGTTTAGTTTATTGAGGACAGAAAAGAATAGAAATGGAAAGTTTAGGAGAAAAATCCCTCTCACAGGCCCACAAAAGTTAAACCCAGAATGAGGTTATTCTAAATCGAGTCAGACAGATGAAATATTTTGAGTTTTCTGTTCTTTTTTTTTCTTTTTCTTTTTCTTTCCCTTTTTCTTCTGTCTATTCTCTCTCTTTTTTTTTCTTTTTTTTTTTTTCTTTTTTTCTTTTTTTTAATTAATAGTGTTATGCTTAATTTTTAAATGGATATGAAATTAAGGATTTATTGTTTGACTCACAAAGATATAGAGGGATTGCCTACTGGAGTTGGATGAGAGACCCAAGGAAGGGGATATAGAAGAACATAGATGTAGGGAAGTTTATGTTATTACAGTTTGTGTGCTTTGAGAATCTTTCTTGGCATGGATTTTACATAGCTCCTATTAAGTAAATCTATATATCTTCTGAATGCTAATTCATAGCTCCTATTAAGTAAATTGATATATCTTCTGAATGCTAATTCTAAGCTATAAATTCGACCAACACCCTTTATTGTGTGTATTTATTGCTAAGCTTGGATTCAACTTGGCTACTACCAAAATGAAGAACTAGTGTACAAAAAGTTTGTTAAGTAAATCTTTAGATGCAGTGGGGCACTACTGGTCATTAGTTTTTGAGTGTTAATACTAATTGGTGACATGAGTTTTTGAGCTGTTAGACACGCTGCTAATTTTGTTCTCATCCTGCCTTTAAGCTGGGTGGCCTATGGTACACTTATAAATAGGTTGTTACTTGTATGTATGCCAATATTCCACTAAGAAACTCTAGAGGTTAGATGTTCAATGAATGATGTCTCCTAGGATGTCGAAGAAACTCTAAGGACGCAATTGTGATGCTTACAATATTTTCCAATGCTATTGCTTCTGATTTAAGTATAGGACTATTAAGATTTCATTATTCTTCTGAATAATTTGCTTGTTTGGTTCTAGATCATCAATTTGGTTTAAGTGGCTGGTAATAATATATGGAGAAAACAGTAAAATGCAATAAGTAGATATATATTTTTTAAAAGTATTTTGTACTTCAGGTATAGGAAGGGTCACAGGTTCACAATGGATCATTATTGTCCAAATTCGCTTATTTACTTTTCCTCAACAATCATCTGACAATTGTTTTGTCCAACTCTTCTACAGAAGTCATAAGTCAATTTAATACCCTTTTTATAATTAACCTCATTTTGATGTGGTTTGTTGTAATACCTACACATATGGTATCTTTGTAGTAAAAAGAAGATTAATTGATTTAGATTTGTCATCTAGGTGCTTGTTGGTCATTCTCAGCCACAGGAGCAATTGAAGGTATTAATAAAATTGTTACTGGATCTCTTGTCAGCCTGTCTGAACAAGAGTTGGTCGATTGTGACAAATCTTACAATAGTGGCTGTGGGGGTGGACTCATGGATTATGCATATGAATTTATTACAAAAAATCATGGGATTGACACCGAGGAAGATTATCCCTATCAAGGTGGGGAAAGGTCATGCAATAAGCAGAAGGTACTGTCTCTATTTTATTCAACGATTATGTTTATTACGAAGTGTTAGTTCATTCTCATTATTGCACCTTGTTATTATATTACCCTTTTCATTCTTTTATCTTTTATAATTCCTGAATTTTTTTCCTTGCAGCTTAAAAGACACGTAGTAACAATTGACGGTTATGCTGATGTACCCTCTAATAATGAGAAACAGTTATTAGAAGCTGTGGCAACTCAACCTGTAAGTGTAGGTATATGTGGCAGTGAGAGAGCATTTCAATTGTACTCGAAGGTTGGTCCTCATGGTCAAATTCAATGTCATTATGTTTTCATTAAGAATCATCCAGTTATGATTTGAACATTTGGGTGATCTGTTCACCAGGGAATATTCACTGGGCCGTGCTCAAATTCTCTGGATCATGCTGTATTGATTGTGGGGTATGGTTCAGAAAATGGAGTCGATTATTGGATCGTGAAGAATTCTTGGGGAACACATTGGGGAATGGATGGTTATATTCATATGCTACGTAACGGTGGCAATTCTGAAGGGCTCTGTGGGATCAACATGATGGCTTCTTATCCAACTAAGACCAGTCCAAATCCACCGCCCCCTCCTTCCCCAGGTCCCACTAGATGTGATATTTTTACCTCTTGTTCAGAAGGTGAAACCTGCTGCTGTATGTGGCACCTTCTTGGTATATGTTTTTCATGGAAATGTTGTGAGTTGGATTCTGCAGTGTGTTGTAAGGACCACCGTCACTGTTGTCCTCATGATTACCCAATTTGCGATACTAAAAGGAATCAGTGTCTAAAGGTTTGTACTGATTTTCTTTCTTCCTTTTTTTATTTTTATTTTTCCCTCAATCCTAATAAGCACAAGCAGTCTAACCAACATTTAATGTTATTAAATGGATGTTTGGATGTCTATCGAAAATCTAATCACTCCCTTGTGCTTCACACGACATATATGATCTGATTTTCCCCTTCACTATCATCATTTTGGTTACAAGTTGAGTTATTTGTTCCACATGTTGACCTTTTGTGTTCAAGTCATTGTGACGAAGAAACTAGTGTCTTTACTTTATTTCTGTAGTTTCTGCCAAAAGTTTTTATAGTATAGTGTTGAAAGTGCTGGATGGCATATTAAAGGGAGGGGCAAAGTTAAGGTTTCTCTTCATATTGCCGATCAGTTGTAAGAAGAATCATTCCCAACACTTGCAAAACTAAGCCTCCATCATAACAGTACTTTGATATGCTACTTGGCATCATTTGTATTGGCATTAAAAAAAAAAAAAAAAAAAAAAAAAAAATCTCAAATGTGATACTCGTTTCTTGTTTTTAATATTACTTATTCTTTATGGCTCTTTTTGCGTTTATGTTATTACATTTTCCAGCATTTGTTTCCATTTCTGAAACTCATGCTTAAACTGCAAAGTATAAAGCAATAAAACTGTCATCTATCATGGGATGCCAAGAACGCTCTCTATCTCACTTGTATAGGTCACTCTCCTCACTACCGAGTACATTTTCTTTCCGGGATGGTGATAATTTTTTTTAATCTTTTTATGTCGATTCTATATATCTAACAGTGGAATACGATATTGATTGCAGCAAACTGGTAATAGTACGATTGTGAAAGGGCTTGAAAAGATGAGATCTTTCAGGAAGTCAGATAGCTGGAGTTACCTTCTGGAGGCTTGGATGTAAAGAACTGCCATTTGTACTTGTGAGTTATTTTTATTTCTGATACTATACTCATGTACCAGTTGTATCCTTTACCACAGAAAGGAAAGACTATGAACCAAGATTGAAATTATTTACTATTCTTGTACACAACCGGCAAATACATTAATTATAAAATTTTTGGGTCCATTTGTGATAAACATTGATAGAAGTTGCAGCTCATGTAATGCTGCTTCTTGAACTTGAAAATATTTATTGTTTTATACGCATGGAAGGATAGAACTTAAATTTGGAAGTTTGTTGGTGCTTTGCTGCTAAAATGACCGAGGTTCTGATTTATTCGTTTTCTCTCTCTAAATTACCTGGATTGATCCTGCATGATTACACACATTTACACCTTCGGTTGAAATCAAAACTGGAACCCTATTCAAATGAATTAACTTCCATAGACATTGACAATCTAGGCTCAACTGACCAGGTAATATGTTGTTTCCTAGTATATATGTCATGATCTATTGAACATTTGATTTTACACATTGAATTTGATTATTTGGTAGGTAAGAATTGGGATGGGGAAAATTCCATGGTCTGAGTTCAAGATAGGAAGTTAAAGCCATCGTAAGTTGTGGAGGCGATTCTTAATCGAACACGTGTAATAAATAATATGGCAAATTACCTTGACCTCCCCTTAAGGGGTTTGGGGCAATCACTGTCAGATGAATTTTTTGGAAAAATAAAAAAAAATTGGTTCAACCTCCTTGAGGTATTTCGAAATCACAGTCAATCCTACTCCCGTTAAAGTTGGAAAGCACTTCTGCTTCGTAAGTTAGGAGTCAATCTCATAAGTTAGGAAGCACTTATTCTTTGTTGCAAGGATGTCCATATTTTTCTCTCTTTTAATATGGATGACAATTACTTTATATTTCTAGCCAAGCAAGAATATGTCAGTTGCCTGGCACATCCACGGCTCATTTTTTTTTTCTCGAGTCAGTTCACTTCATTACACTTTACTGATTGTTTGCATCGTTACTAGAATCAAATGTCCCTGCTGGCTTCATTGTCCAAAGTAACATCTCTAAGTTGTTTGCCGATTGCTTTACTGTGGCAATCTTTCTCAGAAGCAAGACACTCATTCCATTCAATTTCTATTGTCATCAAGCCTTCTAATACACAACTGATTCTTAGTAACACTTAAGAAGTACCCTCGCAATTAGGCCACCCACGAAAGTCATACCACCATCATATGTTATCAGTGCCACCACTCCTTAAGGTTCCCTGGTCAAGTCATCTAGCTACAAACAAGCACTAAGATTCACTTTTGTGCCTGGGTACACTCCCCATGTACACGTGTTGGACAAACACGATAGGCCATCGCATGCCCATAGCAGAAGCCTGAAGTTATTAACACGACAGAGTCTGACAACTGTATGGGCAATAGTCCTCAAGTCGCTCGTGGCTTGTCTAAACACAAAACTTAGTTCCCAAGGAGTATACTGTGCAGTATTATCCACCGACTGATTACACACATTAGTGCAAGATGTACCCTTCTAGTTACAAGACCTCCAAAGGTAAGCCTAAAGCTATGCTAACACCCATGATTTGGCACACATGACCCCGGTGGTGCTCCAATGGCCAATTTTCTCGAGTCATCTGGATGACACATCCAAGTTAGCGGCATCATCACTCCTGAATGCCCTGTCCCTGCTCCTATGTAGACTCTTAACACCCTCAGGCTTGTCCACTTAATGCTTCATTGTGAGACCAGAGGTGTTAAAACTACACCATGATGGCTCTCCAAGAATAATTGGCTTGTCTTCATGCTATCTCAGTGATTATGACCCCGGTGCTACAGCTGAACGATCGATCTTGTCATGCCTGCTGACACTAATTATGCTTTGTGGCTGCATTGGAAAATATCGTTGGGCCACAGACTGAAATCATCCTTCTCCTTCAAATTATAGTATTCATGATTGATTGGTTTGCTGAACTTTAGCTTAGCTTAAGGGGTGGTTCGTGTTCGTGTCACTTCACCTCCATGCACCAAATTAGTGTGATAGAAGAACTCTTTCTTCAACCTGATAAGTAGAGATGATTATGTAGCAATTCAGGTTCTCTGCAGTTGATAGAATGTTAGTGGAAGTATGAACTTAATTAACCAGGAAAACCAGTCCCTGATTTACGTTTTAGAGCTTCCCCACCTAATGCATTTCAATTGAAATGGAATTGAACTGTGAATACAGGACGGTTACCAAATGTTTGCGCAATCCAGTTATCATGTGGTATCGAAATATTTAATAATTTGTTGATGATTTATTTTACATAGGATTTTATCATATCATAGGTATGGTGCAGAAGTTGACACACACAGATGATTTACATGGGATTCTATCATATCATAGGGTGGCGGTGTAGAAGTTCACACGTGGAAATCAATAAATGTGTGTGGTGTCCCCCCAATTCCACGTCACCTTCGAGGCTTTCAACTTTCAATCCTTTTCACAGCACATCATTTTCCTCTAGCACCGGAATAAATGTCTGTTTGTCTTTTTGTGTTTTTTTTTTTTTTTAATTTATTTATTTATTTGGTGTTTGGGTGTTGGTGGTCCATGGGCAATCACAATCTGTATACGCAAGCTAAAGATCAAATAAAATTAAAATATTTACTTACGTATTAGGCTATAATGATCTTTTTAAGTTAATATTTTATTTCACAATTCACTATTTATTGGACATGTATACCGACAATAACCATTCTAAAGTAAACTGAAACATGGTTTGATTTTCTGCCCAGCAAACAAGAATTTTTCGCATCATTGATTTTCTCAACCTTCCCCCATTTTTCCAATTCCACATTTTGCTTTCAAAATCCACTTTTTAAATCCGACTTCCATTTGACGCATGCTTTTTTTTTTCTTAAGAAATTTCTATAAGTTTGAATCTCCGGAGATGAATTTGTATGTGCGGAAATGTTGCTTTTTGTGAAGAAATTAGGTTGAACAAAGTAGAATAGTCACCATGGAGTTTGTCTTAACTCAACAATCAACATATTCAGATGAGTTTTTTTTTTTTTTTTTTTCCATTAATTATGGAATGAAAAAAAAAAAAAATACTCATCTTTCTTTCAAAAATTAATGAGATAAAATAGTATATTTCTTTTAATTTTTTTTTTTTTCCCTAAAATCCGACTCTTCAAACAGGAAAAAAAAATTCTATAAATTAAAATTGACATGGAACAATATGTTTTTAGCTGAGCCCATATAATATTAGTTAAGCCCTAATCTCATTATTTAAAAAATAAGACCTAAACAGATTTCAACTCTGAGTCTGAGAGCCCACCAGCAAGATTTAAAAGACTCAATATGTTGAATTTATGTCATAAATATGTTCAAGGGATTAGAAGGAAGCCTAGGAAGATTATTTTCTAACATGTTTATTCAATTTATTGGCATTCAAAATCCCAATCTTTCAAAGTTTTTATATTTTGTTCAAAGTGAAAAAATTCATTCAATATTATGGGAATACAGCAATTTTTGAAAAATTCAACAATTAAGTCAGCCCTCGTCACATTCGATGGTAAAGTAGTCGGGTATTCTAAATTTATTATTATTACGAAACCGCGTTCAAAGTAAAAACAAACGTGTGGAAAATGGGCATCAGATTCGAAACCGCGTTCGTACAAAAATTAAAGTAAAAACAAACATGTGGCATTTATGTAATTAACCTTAGACTTCAATACATTTCTGTAAGTTGACCGACAGACCAAATATATATACCATCTTCAGACACAAAAGTAAAAGAATATTGGTGGATAAACGATTTCAAGAGCTTCGATTAGGTTTTTTGTTTCTGTCAGGTGAAGAGTTCAATTTATACCAATGGCTTCGGGAGAGGGAGAAGTTATTGCTTGCCACACTGTTCAACAGTGGGACGATCAGCTTAAGAAGGGAAATGATTCCAAGAAATTGGTATATATATATATATTGTATTTTGTTTAATTGTGTTCTTTAATCTTGGTATTTACTTGATTGCTAAGTGCTCTTAATTCATTTATTTTCGAATTGTAATCTGTTTTAGTTGGTTTTGTCTGATTTACCTGAATTTTTGGTGTTTATTTGCTAAATTAGTTCCCCCAAAGAGGGTCATATATTAGGGCGGGTTTATGTGGTTTTCTTGAGTACAAACAATAGGTTTGGGTTTCTAGTGATGGTTTTATGTAAAGTTTTTATTTCGCATTCAAATCACATGTTTTTTTTTTTTGGGTTTTCCCTTTGGGGTTCAATTAGGGTTTCCTGCTTTGTTACATGATGATATAACTCAATGGTTTTGAGAAATTTGTGTCAGACTCCTTGTGTGGTTCACTGGCTTTGCAGAAGAGTGCAACACACCTTCAATATGTTGGGTATGCATAATTAGTATCTTTTAAGGACAAAGAACTGGTTTTAACAGATCTAGCTATGGGCTTATAAAGATTTAAAAGTGCTGAAAATTAGGGAAACGAAGAGGAATGATATTGTTGTCACACTTGAATTCCTTTCTATCGGTTTGTATTAGCATCACACAATTTAAAGGCGTATTCTTTTCTTGCAGCACAGTGAACCATATTTAGAAACTAGAGACTTTCATTAATAAAAGTCAATATGAATATGAGTGATGCTATCGTGAGAGTCCTCTCGTGGTGAGCTCTCCTTATTTAACTGATGAATGGAAAGATATATTAAATCACAAGTTTGAGTTTTTACAAATTTCAAAAACCTTTAACAATCCAGTGTTTAAATTAGGTCTTGTCATGAGAGGGCACTCATGATAGCATTACTCGTATGAATATTTATTGAAGTTTGCAAATAAGGATGTGATGTTGACTTTTAAAACATAAAAAGGTATAAATAAAGTTTATCCATTGCTTGATAAACTCAACAAACATAAGAACTCAATTGTAAGAGTTTCGAAGTGAGCATATTGTCACGGGCTTAGAGTTTCAGCACCACTCTAGCTGCTCCCGTGCGGCACCAAGACGTTGCTTTCACTCTCGCAAGTACTTGGTCAGCCTAACTCCCGTGCACACCTTATCCAACACACTCCCCTTGTGCGCTTACTAGTGTTGTAGTTGCCCTCGCCCTCTCCTCACTTGGCTTGCACACTCATACACACTAAGGCACTTAAGTTGGCAAGGAAAGAACACTTCTATTACTTCAAAGAATGCTTTGTACAAGGCTAACACTTAAGCTCTCTACAAGGCTCTCAAGACTCAATTTAGGACTTGTTGCCTACAAAATGAAGTCCTACCTCTATTTATAGGCATCCCCATCCCTAATGGACGGTTAGGATGCATTCTAACCAACGGTGGAGATTGATTATCTAGAATCTTCTCCCACCTTCTTCACACTTCCATACTTATCTACTAGTATCTACAACATTCTAGAATTCTCCATACTACTCCACACAACTCTGGAGAACTCTAGAACCTTCCACACACTTCTACACATTTCTACACATATCTAGAAACTTCCACATAACTCTAGACTATTCCGGAAGACTCTAGAAACTCCACTTGCCATGCAGTTGCCATGCAGCGTCCTCCTCAGCGTCTGCGTGTCGCCTGCGTGGCATAACCTCCATAGGCGGGGCGTGACAATATGCTTGAAATTGAGCCAAAATTTTAAGTTCATCTCTACTTTGAATTTGGTTTTCCTTGGAGCTTCCTATGAATACAGGTGTTTCCTTTACTCATTTATTGTTGGTTTATGTTCTTCATACCAAATTGTAGACCAATGGAAAATAATAATAATAAATAAATAAAAACAAAGAATGATTGATGGTTGAGGAATCATGGAGGATTTGTGTTCATTTTGCTTTTATTTTTTCTATTCTTGAATCAAATGCATGTTGGTGGTTTTTTTATTTTTTATTTTTTTGTTTGTTATAACACTCTTTGGAGCTAGTGTTACTCTTTGTATAATTATGAAACTTGTGATCTTAGCATTGAATTTTTTTATAGTGTGTGGTTGTCTGTCATTTCGAGTGAGCTTGGAATTATGTTTTGGTGAACTGCAGCTTTAGCATTCATTGATGAGCTGTTGATTAGTTTTATTTTTATGTTCATTTCTTTAATCTGGAATGTTTATGTTTTAGTGAAATCTTTACTTTGCATAGTGAAATAGTGTTTTTTTCTAAGCAAAGAATATAAACCAATATGTGTTGAGTTACTTGGATCTTGCTGGAAATATTAAGGGCTCCCAATATGTGTGTGAGTTATTTGGATCTTGCTGGAAACATTAAGGGCTTAATTGATTTATTGGGTATTGAGTCGGTCATGATTAGTTTAGATTTCCTTAACTGCTTAAATTCATGATTCTGGTGGTGATTAGTTTAAATTTCATTTGTAATCATATTTTGTTATGATATCGTGTGAAATGATAAATCGCGCCAAACATTTCACATATTCATTTCCACCTAGTAAACCCCAGTAGTCTTGAATGACAATAATACATTTGTCATGCTTTAGTGGCTAATATAACTGTACTTTATGCTATTTCTATGCTTAAGTTTTCCATTATCTACACTCTTTTTTGTTGGGTGGTGGGGAGCAATTATACATCTTTAGAGGAGATTGTTGATTTTTTGGACTCTTTGAAAGTTTAGAGGCCCTTTTTGGTCTTGTGTAGTTCTTTTGGGCTTCGCTCCCCATTTGAGCGCTTCTATACAATTGTCTTACTTGTCAAAAATATATATATATAACTATACTTTTTTTAATTTTTTTTTATAACTGTACTTTTTTGTAATGCCGGTATTATTTATTTTTTCCCATAAGATATTCAGTTAAAAATATGTAGGCTACCGACTTCAATGCCCTTTGCCCATGCATTTTCTTGGTCATGGTAATGAGTGAAGGCATTCCACATTGGGGTTAGGCTGATGGGAACTAATCATGATTCTCTCTTTTTAGACCAAGTAACACAACAAAAGGGACAAACTCTTAACAATTATCCTTACTATACTTTATGATGACTATGGGATGCATTTACATTTCATGAGTATATACCTATGTAGAAATTCTCCTGAATATTCATTTTCTTCAGTGTGTTTATCGTAGGAAAACCATCATATCTCAATGCCTATTCTAGATTTTGATCTCTCAATTCCACAAACTTTAATGCTATGTTCGGTAGGAAGGAAAGAAGACGGGTGGAAGGAAAATAGGAAGGAAGGAACAAATTATGATATAACCGCCCAAATATAGGTGGAAGATGGGAGAGAAGACAAGTGAGCCTATTATAGAAGTTTTAAATTACTGCATCATCCTTCATGAATATTTAATAGATCCCATAAATAAATTAAGTGATGGGTTAACTTAAAAATTTCTCTTTCCTTTTATCCTATTGATCAAATTAAATTGTCAGTTTCTTCCATTCTCTTCCATCCAACTGAACAAAAAGAGAGAAACATATAATCTCTTCTCTAGGGATGTCTCAGTCATCCATTCTTCTCTCCCTTTCATTCAATTTTTTTCCTTCCTACCGAATGGAGCATAAATTTTAGTAATATCTTGTTTGATATCAAACAGAGTGATTGTATAACATCCAACATATAATTTTATATTTGACATTGATACCTGGCAACCACAAGTCAAGCATGCAGTAGGCACCTTCATTTTGGGTCAATAATATAATTGTAAGGACAAAATATAGTAGGACTGAAGCTACAGTTTATGCAATATAACAATCTTTGTGATACTTGTTTAACTATGTCTTTCAAACTATGCAATATTAGTGTACAAATTTGAAAATTAATTAGTGTCTTATAGTTTAATTAACTAAGACTTGAACCGGATTTGCGATAGGGTGAGATATATTGTGAGAGCCATCATATGCAATTGCTCCCTATCATCATCTTTGCATTTGACTTTCAAGCATGAGGGAAGTATATGCTCTTTTATTAATTAGTAATTACTTTGATTTGTTTAGCGGAAGCTTCAGGATCTTTTGACCTAATTATAAGCGTGGCCAATTAAATGCTTGTATGCTGCATATAATCAGTGGCAGAAGAAAATGAACTTAATTATACTGAGATAAGATGCTAATGTTGCTGTAATGACAGAATATCAAATTTGGTGTATTAGATGTATAATTTATATTTATATGTTGATGTTATCATGTTATGCCCACATCCAACTTTCTTAGGACATACTTTTTCAGTATTTCTTGTCTGTATTCTACTATCTAATTTATTGCTGTATTGTTGGTTGTTAGCCTACTTGTGAGCTTGTTTCCTTATATGCTTTCAGAAAATAATTTTCTATTTAAAGAGAAAATAGAACAAAGAACAAAAATTTGTTTAGTTGAGTGTTTTTGAAACAGAACTAAGAAAGGCTTAATTACAGAGAACAATCATTTTCTGTACCTTGAGAACTGTTTTTTGTTCACTTGTTCATTGAAACTATTATCCATATGCAGAACCAAACAGGATCCCAAGAATTTTCATGCCTGCACACATCAAGTTGTCATGTTTTTTCTCATTTGTTTGGTTCTTTTTCCCCTTGTATTGGTTTAATGTGTTCTTGTTGTAGTAGTAATTGTGGTATTCTTTCTGACAAATTAGTCCTGTGCCTGGTTTGGCAAATTATGGTCTTGTTTGGCTTTGTTATCTAGAAATAGTTTATGTTTCATAGAACAGATTTCAAAGAATAGATTCCTAACAAATGAAATTTTGAATTCTTTTCTCTTCTTTTTTTTTTCTTTGAGAACAGGAAATTTTCCTAGATAATAGAACCAAATAGTTTATAAAGCAAATTTAGTGAAGCAATCAGTTTGAATGTCTCCCTCTCTCTCTATTGTTTGTATGTTTGTTCATCTCTCTCTCTCTCTCTCTCTATTGTCTGTATGTTTGTTCATCTTGTCTCTCTAAATTTTGGTGGTGTAGTTAGCAGGATCCATCTGCTTTGTTTGCTTTTCAAAGTAGTTTACATGCTAAGGAATTCCTTCTCCCTTTCCCCTCTTCTCCCAAGAAAAAAGGAGTATAATAATGAGATTATTTTGGTAGGTTGTGGTGGATTTCACTGCGTCATGGTGTGGACCATGCCGTTTCATTGCCCCAATTGTGGCAGAGTTTGCCAGGAGGATGACCCATGTCATGTTCCTCAAGGTGGACGTGGATGAATTGAAGGTAAGGAAGCCTAAGACCCTCAATTATATGTTCAATTGTTATGCCTACTTGATTCATTGCAGATTTATTTTGTTTATTAGTTTGAAATACCATTTTAAAACTCTTATGTTTTCCTCTGCAGTCTGTTGCCGAGGATTGGGCTGTGGAGGCAATGCCAACTTTTATTTTCCTGAAAGAAGGAAAGATAGTGGACAAGGTTGTGGGTGCAAAGAAAGATGATCTCCAGCTGACAATTGCAAAACATGCTAGTCCTACTGCTCCTGCTACTGCTTCTGCTTGATTGTATGCTTAGAGGAGATAAGGACCTTGGTACCTTTTTCTGTGTGTTTATGATAACTATGGTGTTGCGGTCTTGTAAGTTTCTCTTTGTGGGTGTTTGTATTAAGGTAGTAACCTACTGCATGAAGTTAAGGGTGTAACCTTGAAGCTAGTTGTTACCTTAAGTTGTATGGTTGATATACTTGAATCATTTGCACATAATGTTGCAGTGAATAAGATACTAGTTGCAAAATATTAAAAATAAGTACTCTTGCTTCTTTAACTGGTTGGTGCTGTCTAGTGTTATAGAGCTGCAATGTGTTGTCTAGTTTCTTAGCATTTGAAAGTTTGTTGTTTCACATGTTTAATTTCTGTCGGTGCTGTCTAGCGTCTTAGTGTTGCATTGTGTTGTCTAGTGTCTTTTAACATTTGAAAGTTTGATTAGTGGATGGGGGAGAGAGGAGGGTTTGAGGGTTTGGATATGTTTCTATCTTTTTTCCAAGGTTTCGGATACGGAATGTTTAGTATTTAGTCTAGTGGCTGTTGTTTCTCATCTTTAATCTGGCCAGAAGTCTATAAATTAGAACAAGGAAAGAACTTAGATCTACTCAACAATTTAGGAGAAAAATTAGGAGAAGATATCTGATTAATTTATTTCTAAGAACTCATGAGAAATCGGAGTATATAAATTGGAATTGGTGGAAATTTAGTAATTTTCTTTCAATTGTATTTCGTAATCTCCTCTAATTCAAAGTTTTAGCCTTTAACTCTGTCATTTGTCGATTGAATGTTTTAAGATCAGCAGAGAATAAAAAGGGAAAAAAATTCGGGGATAGACGGAGCTTGTTGGTGATGTCAAGTTGAGATTAAGATAAAGATAGAAGTAGAAGATAGGAAGCCCCAGAATGTTTAAGATCAGCACAGAATAGAAGGAAGGAAGCCCTAAATTGTAGTAGTAAGATTTGTGGATTCGCTGTATGTTGATTGTTGAAGATTTATGTTGGAAGTGAGAGTTATGAATGTTCGGGGGCTTATCCTGTATGCATCTTCTACTTGATTATGAGACCAGTGAATTGGTGTTTCTTTGACCCGAATTGTTGCGTGTTATTCTGGTAGTCATAGGAAAGAAAATTTTAAGCTTTCGGATTCAAGCTGCTGCATTTGTTGAGTCACAAATATCTCCTAAAATGTTGATGCCCTTGGTGATATCATTTATCAATAATATCATTTCTCAATAATTAACATCAATCTTTATCGTTGGTTGTTCTTTCTCTGTTCTTGATTGATCCAATAATTGGGATTGTGGATTTGTTTAGATTTTTGTGCTCAATTGGTCACACACTTTCTGTGTTTACCAACCAAAATGTTGGTAGAAAATAACCCATTTTTCTGTCTACTTCATCCATTCGCACCAAATCATTTGAAACAATGTAGAGAGGAGAGAACAAATCAAGATCACAACGTTCAACCCACATGTGTCTCCCTCGTTGGAATTGGATAATACCTAAACACTACTAAAATGAGCAACAGAAGGAAAACGGAGAATGTAAAGCAATACTGTAATTCAACTTTATAACATATTAAGACGCCAAAGGCTTAAAGGGAAAACCAATACTATTACCTTGCATTAGGGTTGCAAATGAATCGAGCTACTTTGCATTAGGGTTGCTTCATTTTTGAATCTTGCGAGCTGTTCATGAACCTGAACAATCTTACCGGGCTCTGCTCAGTTCATATACAGACCCACCCTGGAAATGATATTAATAATTGTCACCGACGTCTTTTGAGGGGCAAGTTTTGCCTTTAGACAGGCAGTCGTTGCAATAATGTATGATTATAGATATCTTTTTATAGGTGTGTCACTCTAGCAACTCAATAAAGTAAAGAAAGTTAAACCATTAGGACCCAAGTTCTTTTGACCAATGTTTCTTTATCCCTCAATAATGCTAGTAAGTGCAGGAGAAAAATCAATCGCTTTATTTGCAACTTACCATTACACAAATTATTCTTGGTGTCCCTTTCTAGATACAAGGTCAGGGAATGAACTTTAGAACAACAATTGAGCCCACCATATACTCAAAATCTATCAGATTCATACTGCTTATCAAAAAAAAAAAAAAAAAAATTTACTTTGTATTCCGTTCGCGCTATCTTTCAAGTGGGAAATAACATGGCACTGGACCAATCTACCTGACGAATACTTCAATCAGTTCAATGTGGTATTTATCTTCAAATCTTCCATTCTGTACAACCAAACAATAACTGCATTGGCATTTTTTTTTTATTATACCCTTCTTTGGCCATTTTTATGTTGCTGTGGGAGAACAGCTAGCTTCAACTGATAACTGCTTTAACACTTTGGGACATGGGTCTGCTCCAAAGTTACTGTTGGATATGGGGATCTCGCAACTCTCTCGTCCGACGCACATCTGTAATTAATAATTTAAAGAAATGAAAAATGTCAGTATAAATGTTATCATAGATGTTCATGTATATTGATTAAGGTAGCTTTAAGGTGGGGAAGTGCCTTCTCTAAGATGGCATGAGAGTTTGGTGCATGGCAAGTTCCCTTCTGGAAACTCCCACAAGTTCCCTGAGGTGTGCCAAAACTCGCGAATTCAATTTCTGATATGGATTGTCCTGGTGCACACTGCAGGTGAAGCTTTGCCTGATGATGCATCTTTGATTTGCCAGAGCTCTCGGTAGACCAATTCTCGGTCGTTGGGTGGTGTTCATATGCATTGGCACAAACAGTAGTTGCTCTTCTTTTCACCAGAGATATCTTTGATGCATCCCCGCCTAGTTCTTCGAGTACTACCAACAGATTATGTGTTGGCTTCAACCAAGACCTGGGAACATGGTACCTGATGGATATATCCGTAATCGAAAGAAATTAGTCAGAAAATCTGATACAGCAAATCCTTCACATTTTATATTATTTTCAAAGAGATGAGTATAAAAATTCAGGAAAATGTAGAGAGGCTGGTCAATTTTAGAGTGTTACCATCTCTGAGTTGGTTCACCGCAACCAAGTTGGCACTTTGGGGCTCGGTATGTCCCAGAATAACTACAAGCACCGCAATTGCCTTTTGCATAAACCATCCAATACCTTCCTATGCTTTGTCCGTTGATCCAGACTTGGCCCTTTCCCATACTTCGCATGTCCAAAGCTAACGGCTCATTTCCTTGTGGTGCATTAAAGTACGACTGCAAAACACACTACGTTTAGTGCCTGATCCCCACTTCTGTTAGAACTTCTCAATCAATTTTTTTTTTCATTCCTAAATACCTTATACCATGTCAAAGGGCGCTGGCGATGATCGACCAGTGACCCTTGAATCCACTCGACAGATGAAGCTCCATTTGGAGAGTCCAAATTCAATGTCTCACCTTTAAGGCCAACCTGTTCAAGGAAGACACAAGAGTTCAAACTTTTCATATCATTTATATAATGATGTGACCAGAAATTACAGAAAAATAGATATGTGGAATGTGTCTTGCCTTGTAGCTCCATTTCTGCCATGATAAGTCCCTCTTTCCCTGCCCAAGACCGTCCAGCACAACTGGCCCCAGGATTCCTGTTTTCCATGTCTCGAAGTGCAACCCAATGTTCTTCAGCAACAATTCAATTATTTTCAGTCAGTCACTAAAATAGCTCAAATGTTCAATTAGAATCAGGTCGTAACATTTAGTTGACTAAACTCAAGGTCCCGCAAAGAGTTGGCTAATAAAGTCACATTCTTATAGAGTCATAGGCAGAAAACTAACTGGCAATCCAACAGCTATACTGAGTAGAGCAATTCTATTTGCTCCAGCACGGAGGTCAACTGGTACAGTATATGTAAATCCCGAGTTCTCCCTGGTACCATAAGCCGACCCTATAATTATAAATTACAAATCAGTGTCGTGGAAATTGTACTATTTTTGTGACAGCAGATAGCAAGTCGAGCACAATTTCAGTAACAAACACATTTTAATAATCTAGTTGATTGATCTAAGAAGTTGTAATCAAACATCATACCTGAAAGCTTCCCATTGATAAACACATGAACTATATGGCCCCTTGATTGCACAGTGAGAGTGGGCCATTGTCCTCCTCGCAAAAATGATTCCGATGAACTAATGTCAACTCTGGTTTGAGAAGCAAATTGGAGAAGTCAGAACACATGTACCAGCAGAGGCTTTTGTATCCGCCACAACCCCCCCCCCCCCCCCCCCCCCACACACACACACACAACTTTTGTTTCTCCATCTTCCAATTCCCTTCCTTTCTCTCACCCCTCAACAACTCCCAAATCCTAATTTTATTTCTATAAATTGATGTAGTTTTGAAAAGCAAACAGTGATTAATATCAGTGCAATATAGCTCCATCAAATTGCGATTAAAGAATTCGGGGCTGTAAGTATACGAGGTACTATGAAATACTAGTATCACCTTGTCTTGTACCACAAATAATCACTGCTATCTCTAGTGACATTTATCTGCTCTAACAGTCCAACAGCTGTCATCGCCGAACTGTCCTCTAAAGAAGAAACATCTTCATCATAAATCTCCCAAGAGAGCAACTCAGAATTGGTTGGCAGCATTTGCATCCTTGAAGTTTGAGTTCCAACCTTGATTAGAAGAGAACAATTGTATGAGCAATAAATGCAAGAGAATGTAGCAAAAAGAGTAAATTATCCCAAAGTATAATGAAATGGCCTTCAGTGATGTCTAATCTTCGGATTTAAATGAAAAGTTATACCGGTCTCCTAGATGATGTAAATATCAATTTTCAAAATAGATAGCAACGAAATGCATTATAACTTCACTTACTTTAGCAGTGTTAAAGACTACATTTCTGCAATCAGGAAGGATGCTAGTGGACCAAGGGGGCAAATCATAGTGCATGTTATTGAACATCACCCTTTTGGCAGAATTGCTGTCGAAGTTCGAGAGAAAGGCTGCACAATTTCCATTCGCTGAAGAGAATACACGAGCCTGGAAATGGTGATAATTGAGTTAATAATCACCATAGCAAAGTTATTTCAGATCACTATAAGAAAAGAAGCTATTTTAGAAAATGCTGACCTCCTGAAAGGTTCCTAGTCTAGTGACAGTAGAATCTGAAGAAACTAAAGCCCGTTCACATAGTTTAATGGCCCTATGGAGCTCCTTCAGATGGCCATATTTTGGTTCCCTGATTAAACCTGAACCCAGTAAATTGGTTAGTTAGTTACATATTAAAAAAAAAAAATTTAATTTTCTTTTTATAGGTGATAAATTATGTATGCCTTAGAATTCTTCAAAAATCCAACAAATTTCATCAAGAACAGAATTGAGCATAATTCTAACCATATTCATCTAGTGGGGCATCATAGTCATAACTGGTTGTGATGAAAGGGCCTCCAGCAGTGCGTCCAAAATTTGTTCCTCCATGATACTGCCACAAGCAGAAAGTGTGTAAACTCAAATATACTAAACTAAGTTATGCACAGACGATACAGTAAGTTTTGTGAATTTGTGAGCTGAACCTTGCGAGGTAACTAACCATGTAGTAATTGAAATATGAGCCACCTTTCTCTATGAAACGAGCAACTGCAAATGCCAAATCTTGAACTGGTCTCTGGGGGATTGTGCCACCAAATTCTGTGAACCTTCTCATTGTGGCGAAAAGAGAAAAATTAATATGATAGATGAATGAGGGAGGGCAGATTTGCATCTAATGCATTCAATATTGAAGGTGTAGATAATGGTAATATTTACCAGCCGCTCCAAGCCTCAGTCCACAAAGTAGGCTTGTAAGGTTTGTTGGGAGTAAAACCATCACAGTAAAAACCATTACATGCATTTATCTGTTGCCAATATAAGGAAATGAAATTAGAATTTACCATATTTGAAGCTAAATTGAGTTGATGAACTGAGAACCACTAACTGAATTTAGAATTTCAAATGCAGCAAAAAACATTGTGACAGCAGTAGAATCTAGCAGATTGTCAAACAAGAAGAACAAACTCCACATAATACAAAAGGAACTTTTCACAAGGAATGTAGTAAAATCAAGAAATGAGTGGGGACATTAATGTAGGAATGTCCAGCAAAAAACAAGAACAACTCACCACAGGATCAGGAGCATCATCTTCTTTGCACATCACCCATGGGACTCCAGTATTTAGCCCTACCGCCATCTTTGCAGCCCATTTTACGTATGCGTCACCAGCAGCTCCAAGTGCGTTCTTTTCCAGCCCGAATTCATTTTCAATCTACACAATCAAAATCAAAATGGCAAAAAAACATTATTGCAATTAGGCATCTATTGTCATAATTGTCAAATCCATTTTTGGGGTTTTGATTCATTCAGATTTTTATATTTAAGCTTAAAGATTATACCATACACCTCAGCAATCTAGCAAATAGAATTCAAAAGCACTCATAGCATTACAACACCAAGACAACTCAAACCTGAGATAGGATGATGGGGCCACCCTGGGACTCGAACAGGTTTTCACTCTTCATCATCTGAACAATTTTTTCGGTGAACCTATGCATTGCTGCCTTCAAATTCAGAAAGTGTGAGGTAAAAAGTTATAAAATTATCTCTTGCACAAAATAGTTCAATAATTAAATTTACATCAATGTATAACACCTCACCCTCTCCCCCTCAATCTATATATGTATATATATGTGCACACACAGATATATAACTTCATCAATTTTATATTTTTTCTGATTTAAATGGGCTCCCTCTTTTCCATTCTTCTCCACTATTTTCTTAGGAAATGAGAAAAGGAGGGAATTAGATGAAATGAGAAACCTTAAAAGGTCCATTATCTGTTCTGAAGCTGATACCAGGAACAAACTTCAACCATACAGGAAATCCTCTGCACCAGAGAGACAGAGAGCAGTCATATAACAAGAACAAAACCCCAATATCAAGCATTCACTCTGTAACTAAAAAAGTTAAAGAAACATGATGGATAGATCTAATAAAAATGTATCCCAAAAAGAACAAGAAAATAAAATAAAATAAAATAATGAGAAAAAGAGTAACTACCCAAAATTCCACTCTGCACATACGTAAGGTCCAATGCGCAGATGAACATAGAGGCCCAATTTTTGCACTGTTTTTATGAACCGTACTAGATCATATCGCCCCTCAAAATTATACTGAAAAAAAAAAATTAATAATTGAAAAAGAAAAAAGGTAAAACCCCAAAATCTGTGGTGAAAATTTAATGAAGTGAGAGAAAATGGAGGTCTATTACACTCACATTTCCAGGTGAAGGTTCATGGACATTCCAAAACACATAGGTATCAATAACATCTAATCCTCCATTTTTAGCCTTGCTTATGAGATCTTCCCACATCTGCAACATTATCAATTTCACATAAATTGACACTATATATATGTGTGTGTGTGTGTGTGTGTGTGTGTGTATACAAGAAAGAGAACAGGGGAATACTTCAGGAGTGCTTCTAGGGTAATGTATGGAACCAGAGATGAGGATTCTCCGTTGGCCATTGATGATGATAGCCTTCTTATCATAGGTCACACTACACTGGATCAGCTGATTACCCACCAACAAGGCCATGCTTAAACAGATGAACAGCTTGGAGACTGAGATAGTCTCCATATTTTTTACTCTCTTTCTAACTTCTTTTTGATAGATAATTTCACAGCATGAAGTTATGCAAATTGTGGGAAGCTCAAACAAACCCAAGTGGCAAAATATGTCCAAAAAAATAGCGCGCGTCTCATCTACTGCCACTTTGTAGAGAGGGCAACTATCTTGTATTTTTCTTTTCAATACTGCAGTCTATATAAGCTTAGTGTGACACTGTTGAACATTAGAAAAATCTGGTATGAACATAAGTAATGTGAATGCAATTTCAAGTGAAATGAATTGTTTAATACTAACTCAAAAAAAAAAATTAAAAATTAAAAATTAAAAAGTAATTTTTGCTTTTGAACTTTCATTTAATGTTGTCATTACTCAAAGACAAGGACACAGGAGTTTGATACTAGTACTATTGACTTCAAAGTCAAAAAAAATTCAGTTCTATTGAACATTTATTTAATGTCAAGAAAAAGAGACAAAGTTAGAGAATAAAAAAAAAACAATGTATTACCGGGAAAAAAAAAAATTAATATTTTAAAATTATAACAAAATTTAAGTTATGCAGAATGAGTACGAGTGTCAGTGTCAAAATGTGAGAGTGAGAATACGTTCAGAACATGAGAACTACACTCATTAAAAAGAATTGAATGACTTACCTATGAAATTTTGAAAATATACCACCTCAAACTAAGAAAACTCTTTATTTTTCTAGAATGTCTCAATGATAGGAATATATAATCTTGGTATACCAATTACACAACACATGTTCGTACTGCTTAATACATACATACATATTATATATATATATATACACACACACACTATAATATAAGTGAAATATGAAAACTATTAAAACGTTTTGGACAGAATGCCATCTCGATGATCCAATTCAATTAAAACTCAAGTTTAAAATTTTTGTAATATATTATTAAACATTTTTGAGTTTTCTTTTCTTAATATGAGGTTTTGATTTGACGAATTACATGATTAGTAACATTTCACAAGTTCTTTAAATTATTAATGACAATAGTACTATACTCCCACCATCTCAAAAAAAAAATATATATATATATATATATATATACCACCACTGTTATATATATATATATATATATTTGCAAGAATGGCGAGCAAGGATGAACAATAGTGGACAGCTGTCTCTCATGGGTAGGCGGGTCCCTTGTTGATCAAACAGTACCCTGTTATTTCTCTTTTGTGCTATGAACTGTAAAGTTCCGAAAGCTACACTGATAGGGATTGATAAGTGGAACCGAGTCACCGACAATTTCGTTGGGTGGTACTCAAAGATCGAAGAAGACACGGTTTGGGTTTGAAATATAAACACCAAAAATAAAACATATGTTTTATCCAAACAAACAAAATCGTAATGCTGAGCAGAAAGATATTTATAAGATTTGTAATTTAATTATAAGTTGAATCACGTTATTAGTTTCTTTTATGAGTTCGTATAACTTATTTGGAGAAAAAATCAACTAAATAAATATTATAGTAGTATGGCTTATTTTCCTCCCTTGGAAAATTAAAAATTACTTTTAAATTGAATTAAACACACTCTTGTGTGTGTGTATATATATATATATATATATACTTATTATACATGGAGGGGACAGACCTATATGTTTTATGAATTGGAGATCCAAATCAATGTGTCTTGTTCACATGTTCAAAAGCTTGTTTTTTCTTTTTTAACAACAATGCTCTTTTTTATCTCTCATTGTGATGACGAATTTTGTCGCTTGAAATGTGTATAACATGTTCACATGCGTTACACTGTAATACGTGTGATGTGGCACTCTCATTTTCTTTCTATATATATAATTCGTCACCATTTCATGTACTCCTTCCTTCCCACTCACCGTCCCTATTATATATTTTGCCTACTGATAAACTAAAATTTAATATTCTTCTATTTAAATTTTTTTTTTTTTTTTTTTTTTTTTTTATAGAATGTCCATCTCATATACTTATATATATGTACACATTATATAAAATAAAAAAATATAACATAAATAATATAGTAATGATATAATATGATTAAATATATAAGATTTGAACTTATATTTAGTTGTGGCAAAAATTCAAAAAACAACCCCCTCACTTAGTTAAGGGGTTTTTTTTTTTTTGGTAAAAAAAAGTTGCTTGGGTGCTTATTTGGAGAATTTTTTTTATGCAAGAACAACAAAAATTGCATGAAAAAGGTTTAAATGCGTTTAACATGCTCACTCGTGAAAATATTGAAAGAATAAGTTCCTAGTTCACAATAAAATTATTGTACATTATTATACTAACGAGTTAGTGGCCTAATGGTATCAGATCCTTACTTTCTAAATGGAGGTTGATTACCAACTAAGAAGAAAATAAATTTTGCTAATTATTATTATTATTTTCTGATAATGTAAATAGTGCACAAATCATTTTCCTAAAAATAAAGTAAAACTAAGGAGTAAAACAAAAATCCACATGTGAATTGAGAAAGCGCCGTCACCTCTGCAATCAATTTCCATTATTTATTTATTTATTTATTTATTTTTCCTGTCATTCAAAGGTTCAAAGGCCTAAAGCTAAGATAGCATTACAGAGACATAAAGTCAACTCAGAAAAGACATACAAATCTTGAAGCAAAGCAAATAACTGAAGAACAGACTCCAGATTTATGGAGGAAATAGAGTCCAACACTCTGCAAATGGAACCACTATGGGAGAAAGCAGCAAACTGGAGACCGAAAGGTCTGGCCATCAACACGGCAATCGCTCCAAAACTACAATCACAAGGCGTTTCGACACACAAAACCCCGTAGAAGATCTAATCAATGAGAAAATGATCAAATCTAAGCAGGGAAAAATCCAAAACCGGCCTAGATCAGAAATTTAGCCGGAGAAAAATAACAAATCTGCCCAAGTGAGCTGAAAACAAAACAAATAAGAGCAGATCTAGCCAAACAAAACAAATACCGCGTAAAAACATACCCATGGGTATACTTATTTGAACACACTGGATATATTACAAACGTAGGAAGCAGCTAGTAGCTCCCCACTCCCATAGAAGGGAGCGCAAAAGGAAGAAGACGACGGCTAGTGTAGAGAGAGAGGTGGGAGCGTTTGTTTGTCGGTGGGCTAAATATGCTGCGAACTTCTTAAAATATATTCACTGGAATTATTTCTTTGAGCAAATATTTTTCACATTATTTAAGAGGAGGATGGTGAGAGAACACCAAGAGAATGGGTCCTTGGTCTTATTATTATTAAAGAATAGACATTAATAAACTGTTTACATTAAATTGGGATCTCATTGTAAATTAAAATATCTTCCGTACCCCAATTTCACTATAAAATACGTCCCTCTGTAAAATTATTAAACAAGCCTCTAGAATTTATGTTGTATGAGAGAGGAAGGATAGAAGAGGTGTGGAGAGGAAGTTACCCTTTCTCCTTTACAAATTTCCATTTATTAAAAAATGGATGAAAGAAATGAAAAAAAAAAGCAAATTTTTATAGAAATTTTATATTAAATTATACAAGTTTTAAACTACATACTACCTCTACAAATATTATTAGAAACAATTAAAATTTTCTCTTAACGAACATAGTAAGTTATGAGGTTATTATCTCCTCTTCTATCCAACCGAAGTAGCAAAACTAATGAAGTTACAGGGACCGCGTGCCCCTGACTTGGCCCGTCATCTATAATATATGTGGTAATTTTTTCTTAATTTTTTTGTATATATGAAAATTTTTATTTGTGATTTCTAGAATCATTTCTTTTACTCTTTAAATTTCTGAAAGGAAAAAGTTGAAAGAAGAAAAAAAAAATTTTGAAACTCTTAACTTTTTTCTTTTAAAGTTTTCTCATTTTTCTTTCTTTTTTCTATTTTTACATATTCCTTATATATTTTACTGTACTCTCCGAAATCTTAACTCCGTCCTTGTATCAAGCAGTGACTATTAATCAGAAAATAACTTCACACAAACACAAAATCCCAAAATTCAAGTAGATCCATGATCTTATGCTAATTCATGTGTATATAAACCATATATTAACCGGACAGATCGGATCTACAAATTAACACAAAGTCAGCATAAATTTGTACGATTAAAAAACCAAATTGTTTCAAGAAAATGACAAAACCCCATTATCAATCAAAAGCTAAATAAAATTTGAGTTAGTAATTGCTCCTTAGGAGCATAAAAAATTGCAACCTTTTTAGCTTCTGATTGTTTGCCATGGTTCTACCTTACCTAATGTTTGTTTTTGCATGCATGTCGGCCACCCGACTCATAACTCACTAACACATGAATTAATTCGGTGGTGGTTATTAAAGAGCGGCTTATCGGCATTAATCTAATGTTACCATCTCCCTTTGGAGGGAGTTTTGGCAAACTAGGAGAGGGGGCTGATATAATTCTGAACAGTTCCATGAACAGTTTGATAAATTTGTTTTTGATTCGGTTGGAGTGTTTTTTTAGATGAAAACGATACATTGAGAAAAATTACTAGCTTTTAGTTTATGGGCTATGTTGGTTTTTGATTGAAAACCTTTATTTAGGACTCCGAATTTGAGTTTTCTTATCTGTTAAGAGGCCTGTTGATTATTTTTGAATTTTTGTTCGAGGTCTAACGAAGTCTGATTTGTTCTCAAATTTTAGATTTAGTATTTTTTATTTATTAGGTTTCTTATTCTATTTTTTAGGAATTTTTAGGGTTATTTTTAGTGTTATTTTCCTTCTGTTATTAGTTTTTTTTTTTTTTTTTTTTTTATGTTTTAAATTTTCTTCCTGTGTTTAATTTTCTTTTATTATAAATAGGTGTACTTTCAAGTGCAGAATTAACTTTCATTTAATTAATTATCAATACAAATATCAGATTTCTCTAAAATTATTGGATTCAAAATACGCTACTTTGTAATTACTTTGTTGATTAAAACAAATTTATCTCTTTTGTTACTTTCACTTAAGTCAAACTCAAACAACAAACACACCCATTTAGGGAGGCCGACACTCTACAATTATTATATATATACACACACATATCTAATAATATAGTGTATTAACTATAATTAGTAACCGGATACCGTTGATCCGCCGTTTGTCACACTCTTCAACATCCACAAATCACACCAATTAAATTTAGTGTCCTGCTAGATCTCCGTTCCGTTTACGTCGGTGGATCGATCCCTTGCATAAAAAAAAATCAAACATTATGAATTAAAAAAATCACTATCAACAATTGCCAGCTTTGAATGTCACAACGCTAAAGTGTTTTTTCTTATTTAAGTACTGATTTAGCCATTTTGGCATGTGGGGTTGTCCCTTAATTATGATATATATATACATATAGCCCTATATTTCACTACAATAATAGAACCAATCCTTATCAACTTCCCCATAATTGGTGGTCCTAGACTATGCATTCCCTTATCCAAAATGTTTGCTCTTGTATGCATGTGCTAAACTTACTTCTTGATATCAACAATGACTACACCATATAAGTTGATTTAGACAGTTGTCTAAACTTCCATGTTTATTTTATTTTATTATTATTTTTTAAATGTTTTATTTCAGTTCCATTAAATTGTTTTCTTTATTTAAGGTTTGTATGTCAACCATTTTCCTTTTGCTTTTTTGTTTTTATTCGAAATAGAAATAACGTTTTTGTTGAAATATGTTCAGTGATGATTTGAAACATGTTTGGTGATGTAAAATTTGTTATAAGATTTTTTAAAACAAAAATATAAAAATATATTTGATGAAACTAAAAAGAGTTACGAGATTGAGAAACAAAATGGCTAGTTAAAAAAGGTCCATTTCGATACTATTCTCCACTATAGTATTTTTGATAATGTGGGAAGACATTAGAAAACTTGGTGTTTTCCATTTGGATCTCTCATTCTAAACTCTTAACACATCAAGTTTATCTACCAAATTAGCATAAATTTTTCTTCTAAAAATTCTAACATTTCATATAGGACTAAGTTTTCTTCCACAACTTTATTGACATTCTTTAACTTCTTCAATTTGTTTTCTGGTAACAATGTTTGCTTTATGAGTTTATGGTCAACTTAATTTCTTAAGTATGATGGGCGATGACATTGTTTGTGCAAATGTATCTTTGTAAAAGTTGGGTTGGACTGAGCCGCCCATTTAACACCTTAGGCAGGGACTTCCAAGGGTAATACTGGGGTTTTCACTTTTCAGCCGGGCTGGCCCATCCTAGATTTAGTCAGGCCCATATCGTCACATTCAAGTGTGGCCTGCATTGCCCATGATCGGCCCACGTCCTTTTTCTTTTTTTTTCTCTCTCTCTCTCTCAGTATCGGCCCCACAATACAATCACTATTCAAATCAGAAATGTGGTTCAAAAACGAAACCTCAAAGTCTTACCTCCCGGATATCTGCCAACGCCGCTATGCCTCTGGAGGCCTCTACTGGTTTTAATTGCATCATTACGTATCTCAGAGCTGTATGTAATGTGCACCCGTTGACACATAATGCGTATGCGGGACTCTGATTTGTCTAGTGCATGATATACCCGGCGCTCCGAATACCTACTTCCTAAAGTGGGGCCTAAAATACTCCCAAAAATGGGGCCTAAAACGAATCTTACTTCAGGTCACCGATGACCATATTTCACTTTATGCCATCAAAGTGCATTGGGAATATTCGGTGGTTTGTGACAGAATTATGTGAATGCCACATAAATTCTCTTTTTTTATTTTTTTTTCTATAATATTATGTGTTTTCATTTAATTTATTTTTAAAAAATTATTTTTAATTACTTCGTAAGCTTTGATTAAATATGATTCATCATAATTGATTTGCATAAAAATGTCAGTACATTAAATCTTCTGGAAAGATAAAAAGTCATGCACTTTTATTTATGATGATTCTCCCAGGGATCCAATTCTCTTCCTTTCAATCCCTCCCCTCCATAGTGGAATCCCGAATTTGTTTCTTCTACATAAATCCAAAACCCACTTCCAACAAAACTTCATGCACAAACACTCCCCTCCCTCCTTGCCTTTCATATATATATATATATATTCCTCCATATCACTCTACCATTAATTCTCATCTTTCTCGGTCTCTATCTCTATCTCTATCTCACATTTATTCCCTCTTCTTTTCTCTCTTAATTCTTGGCTCACAACTCAGAAATGGTGAACAACTAACTACTTAATTCCTATATAGGTCATTAATTTCCAATTAATCACTTTTGCATATGCATGTTTATATATATATATATATATTTTAAAATTTTGTCTATTGATATATATGAATTAATTGTGATGCATGGTAGAGTTTGGAGGACAATGGTGGGAAGAACACCATATCAGTTGGGCCGTGGGGAGGCCAAGATGGGTTTCGTTGGGACGACGGAGTTTGCTCCACGGTGAAGCAACTGGTGGTTGCTCATGGGGCCGGTATCGACTCCATTCGGATTGAGTATGAGAAGAACGGGACCTCAGTCTGGTCGGAGAAGCACGGTGGCAGTGGAGGCCTTAAAACTGACAAGGTTAGTTCATTTTTTTATACCTTGCTTGGTTGGTCCTGTAATTTTAGTATCTTTCCATTTTGAGTCCAAAACGAATCAAAGATATTTTCTAAAAAATGTTTAAATATAAATAAATATGTAATTTTATTCATATCTGTGATAATTAAATTTGTTCATATTGTAATTAGAAATCTAATGGATCATGAAAAGTAATGAAAATAATAAAGAAAAAAAAAATATTTATTCATATATGTTTTTACAATTAATTGGGACAGGTTTCCAACGACCAAACATGTCCTTGATTAAAATTAATTATTCCCTCTAAAAATTGTATTTTTAAAATTTAATTAAAAAAAATTATTTTAAATAACTATCTTTTATAGTTCTTTAAAAAAAAATTTATTTAATGAATTTTTGAGAACTGTTTTAATTTTTTTTTTTTTTTAAACCAAACATCTCCTTTGCACTATAGTCATTGTGATTGTCATCCCAAGTTGCTATGCCACATATCAAGTTACCATTTCAATTTACAAATTATATGTCACTTGCCTCTCTAAATATGCAATGGTTTCATCTATAGATCTGCCATTTCTTGAAATTTCTTTTTTGATTCAAAATCGCTATGTAATTAATGGGTATCCTCCCCTGTTTAATAGATTTTTGTTCGAAAATCTTATTGGAACTGTCCATGTCCAATTCATCATTAGGAACCAAATTTTTACTTCACTTCATTTTACTCTAAACCAAACTACCTCTAGTTTAATGGTATAATCTCATCATTTTCAAAGAAAAAGGGATGGTTCGAGCTCGGACTTTGACAAAAGTGTGTATGAGTATATATATATATAATAAAATAAAATAAAAACCCTAATAACTAAATTAACCAAACATAATAATCTAAATGGTTTGATTGTTAATAGAAGTTGACTCCATATAATTGCATGCTAAGCTTGTTTATGTTATATGATGACGCGTGTACAACTTGTAGGTGAAGCTTGAGTACCCAGATGAGTATCTAACTTCAATCCATGGACACTATGGTAGCTTAAATGAATGGGGTCCTGTCTTTGTTCGATCTCTAACTTTCCAAAGTAACAAGAAAATATATGGTCCATTTGGTGTTGAGCAAGGAATGTATTTCTCCTTCCCAATGACTGGAGGCAAGATTGTTGGATTCCATGGCAAGCGTGGTTGGTACCTCGACGCGATCGGAGCTTATTTAGAGCCTCTCTACAACAAGCCCAGCCCTCCAAAATCTCTGCTTCAATCTCAAAACTCTGTTGCTAATGGAACAGATCCAAAATTGGGCTACTCGATAATACAAGGAAGTATCGGCCAAAAATTCGATATGGTTCTGGCTTTAAGACAGAAGGATGATTATAGTAATCCTCTATCTAACAATATGTCGAGGCAAAGTTCAAGTTCTAGTCAAGAGTTCAGTGACACAGACTCGAAGGCCAAGGTAATGATCAGTTGAAGTTTCGTAAACAAGCCTGCTTGGTTCAGTTTTCTGAGTTAAAATATTTGTTTTTAAAGAACTGTCTTTTATGGCTATCTGAGAAGGGTTTTATGATTTCCGAGTTTTTGAAAATTATTTTTAGAAAACTAAACCGAGCAGACTAGCTATGATTATTTTGGACACCGTTTGTGCTAATTCTACATCACTGCATTCACTAATAGAGCGTTCAGGCAGCGTCTGGTGTTTCGAATACTTTCGTGAGAGTCCCCTCGAACAATGTCAAGGGTGTGATGACATATGGAACTTGGGGAGGTGCCGGTGGGAGTGTGTTTGATGATGGAGTGTATACCGGCATCAGACAGATCATTTTATCGCGTAATGTGGGACTTGTTTCAATAAGAGTTTTGTATGATCAAAATGATCAACCTATGTGGGGCAACAAAAATGGCGGGACTGGAGGATTCAAGACTGATAAGGTATGTATCAAGCTCTGGTTTTTGTTTAAATTTTGAGGACAGTGATCAAACATTTGATTTTCTTTTTGTTTCTGCAGATATTTTTTGATTATCCTTATGAAATATTGACACATATGACAGGGTTCTATGGGCCAACAATGCTCATGGGGCCAACTATTATCAAGTCTTTAACTTTCCATACCACGAAGACGAAATATGGGCCGTTTGGGGAAGAAACAGGACAGTCATTTTCCACCAACTTGAAGGAAGGAAAGATTGTTGGATTCCATGGGAGGAAAGGATTGTTTGTGGATGCCATTGGCGTTCATGTGGTGGAAGGGAAAGTGTTTCCACCGATTCGCTCTCCTTCCATTTCCTTTAACCAATCTGAAGTGCACATTCATGAAGTTGATCATAATGATCAGCAGAGGCCTAATAAGTTGGTGCAAGTAAAGAAAGCTCTAACAGATGAGGTACGACATACATAATGACCTCATGATTACAATATTCTTATACAAAAACACACACACACACACACATATATTTACGAAGATTGACAAGTACTGATCAAGATTGTTGATTAATTGTGTCAGTTGTTGGGACATAAGGTGGTAAAAGAACCAGCTCAAGGAGGGCCAGGTCCATGGGGTGGGGAAGGAGGGAGACAATGGGATGATGGAGTGTTTATGGGGATCAAACAAATCCACTTGACAAGAAGCAATGCCATTTGCTCCATACAAATCGAGTATGATCGAAGTGGACAATCCGTTTGGTCAGCCAAACATGGAGGAGACAGCGGAGGGGCTGCAATTCCGGTAATAAATTGGTCTTTAACATGATCCGTTTTTATTTGTTTTTCATCTAAACAGCCTCTCAAGGTGCAGAAATAAGGCTGCATACATTTGACCTTTCTCACACTCTGCAATAACAAGAGTCTCGTGTACTGAATAGCCTGAACTAACCCTTTTTTTTTTTTTATTATTATTATTTATCAGTTTTGACCTTTTTCACTTGTACTAAATAGTTTGAGTAAGTCTCTTTTTTGTTAGTCTCGGAGATAGGGTTGCATACATGTGACCTTTTTTCTCGTCTAATATGTGTTATTGTTGTCAGATAAAACTGGAGTATCCTAATGAAGTAGTGACTTGCATAAGTGGATTTTATGGTCCTATAAGGGGAGATGAGGGGACAAAAGTGATCAAGTCACTAACATTTCATACAAGTAGGAGGAAGTTTGGACCTTATGGTGAAGAAATAGGTATATTTTTCACTTCAGTGACAACAGAGGGGAAGGTGGTTGGCTTCCATGGAAGGAGTGGAATGTACTTGGATGCCATAGGAGTTCACATGCAACACTGGCTTGGAAATCAAAGGCAATTGAGGCCATCGTCTCTCCGGAAATTCTTCCATTAATCAGTCAGCTGTGATTTAATCCAAAAGTAAGATTGACACTTTCAGTTGGTATTTCTGTTAATGAAACATGTATATGACATTAGCTATTAGCTAATATATAGCCTGGGCATGTATATTTCAGATTTAAGTTTATAATATTGGTGTCCATAACAGCCGTCGGGCTTGCTTTGTTTGTGCTCATAAAATTATAAAAGACTGTTTTTAAATTTTTGTTCATAACAACCATCGGGCTTGCTTTGTTTGTGCTCATAAAATTATAAAAGACCGTTTTTAAATTTTTGTTCAGAAACTGTCAACCAAGTAGATTTTTATATTATTTTTTGATTTTCATTTTTCATAAAATAAAAAATTGTTCTTAAAAACTAAACCAAGCATTTCGGTCATTTTATTTATTTTTTTTTGTTTTTGGGTACACTCCAACATTTAAGGGAATTTTTTTATGGTGCCAATAAAAAGAAGAAAAAAAATCAAATAATTGTTGTAGTATTGCATAGGAAAAGAACACAAGCTCATGCATCCATCATCTTCCATGAATAATCCAGCCAATGAAAAGTTCTAACCTAATTGTAAACGCTGTTATAGAATGCTATTGGCAACATCCGATCATCTCTAAGAGAATAAAATGTCAATTAATTACATTTGCATTACCACTTGTACTTGCAAGTTATAAAGTGGATGGTAAGGGTTCAAATTTTTAAAGGGACAAAGTGAGTGTGTGTGGAGTTCAAAGAAAAAGAAAGATTTTTTTGGTGTTTATTTGTCAATGAAAAAAAAAATAGTCAAATTATAATTGAAAATATTTGGAGGGAACAAATTAAATATTTAAATAAATAAGTGGGAAAAAAAAAATGGAAACAAGAATTCAGCAGGTAAAAAAAGAAAAAAGAAAAAAGAGGCCAGGATATGGTTAATTGGACAACAAAACCCTTGTTGGTGCTGAAGTTCAAAAATGCCCATGTTCTCAGGGTATAATTAAAACCCCAGCCCATCCTATGATCGGAAGATGTAAAACCGAAGCCCAAAAAATGCATTTAAGAAGCACCAACAAATAGCCCAATGAATATATAAGCCAAACACTACTAAACATACCTAAGCCCACCAAAGGACATGTCCTGACATCCCCAACAAACTCACTTTTGTTTTGACTCAGATAAAAAAATAATAATAATAAAAACATATATATATATATATATATATAACTCCAATCAATTTATGTACATAGAGATTGACTTGTGATGATATATCATTAATATCTTTAATATTATGATAATGTTATATTCTACTCATTTAAAATTAATCATCTGAACAACTGAATTTCCTATCATTACTATTAATAGATTAAACATAGCACCAAAATTCATAAATGAAGAAAGCGAAAACAGAAAGAGAGAGTAGGTGAGGCAATATATTCCCTGACATTAAGGGGATCCCCAATAGGCCCCAAGCTTACCTACCAGAAGAAGATTATGTTGAAATTTATTCTATTTTTAAAATGTATTTAGATGATCAAGCAAACTGCAACCAAGTTAATTATCATAAACTCTCCTATATATGTATTGTATATATATATGCATGCATACATACGTACATATATATTGACATATATAGATATAGAGAATTAGAATCTAATTATATAGGCACCCTACCGATGTGCCCTACAAATTAATTAGGGACAAATCTTCATAGACTTTATCTTCAAAGGTACGTATTGCTTTCTTTTGTGATGTGTGGTTAATATAATTAAACATGCATGTTGTGCTTGTGAAGTAATTTGATAAAAATCAGTTCCATATGTTATTATTTCATTTATCTGGTTTATACCAACGGGATTGTATCGTTATCAAATATATTCAATTATAAATTTTACTTTCTTTATTTTCTTGTAACAAAACACAAAATCATCATTTTAGTGCCTATCAATGTCTTGTTAGATCAAATTAATCACACTTTTAGCATGAATGTTTAAATTGCATCGAATCAGGGAAATTAAGCATGGTTGATTAATGATGATTTAAAAAAATATATTTAAAGTCAACATATTTGGTGCCGATAAATTTATGTGAACAAGAAATTATTTCAAACGACTATATAAAGCTCCCATCCTTCAACCTCGTCCACACGGCCATGACACATTCATCACACTAGGTCAATAGTAAAGAAATAATATGCCTGATATTGGCAATAATTACTATAATTGGACCATATCAAAAGTACCAAAAATCAAATATACAAAGTAGGGACATTGAAATTTGTTGAGATTACTCAATTAAACTACCAAACAATTCGCAAGAGTTGACGGTTGGGTTTTATTGCTCGAATTTGGTGTGCAAGTAGTCCATGAATAGGGTTGAGAAGAAAAAAGTATAGAGAGATATATACAATTGTAGGTGAGTAAGGTTTTTGAGAGGAAAAAGAGTGCACGTGTAATCAAAGTATTAAAGTAAAGATAATCGTTCTTTGCGTGTGTGATCCTGACAAAAATACCCAAAAATAAAAATTATAAAAATAAATAAATAAAGGAGAGGATAGAAGGAAGAAGAGATGAGAAAAAGCCAATGAGGCAGTCAATTAGAAAACATAAGAAAATGGACAAAGTAGGGTAGCTAGAAAGCATAATAACAAGATGATGATCAAGTGGGCAGTGGAGAGTGATTGAAAAAAATTAGCTGTCAGATTCGAGGAAATGATAAACAGTAGTACCATTAGAAATGGAAGAGGATCATTCATTGGCCATGGAATTGGGCCCTATGGACCCTCTATTCTCCATCACGATGTGGAGACTGATAACACTGGTCTGGTACTATTATACCCTAATAATGGACCCAAGATTTTCTCATAGATTTTATTCTTGTGGCCTACTCTTTGCATGCAGGAGCACACACACACACATATATATATACATGTATGTATATAATAAACTCATAACCATACAATTGCATGCATAGTCATTCAATATCAATTTTCACATTTTAGGCTTCATATATTAACATCACATTTTGGTTCCACATATTTATAACGTGTTCATAATTAACCAACTAATCTCTAGGGTAAGCCGGTCTATATATATAGCTCCAAATTGTCTTCATTTGGTTAGTTGCAGACTTCGACCTTGAGTGGCCCCTTCATGCAACACACACACACACACATATATATAATGTTTATATTCTATTTAATTAGAATAATGTTTAAGGTGTGCAAATTTCTTAGTTGGGTACCTCAATTTTCAACCACACACACTGACACACACTGACACTAACATACTCATTTATCCATCGTTCAAGTCCATTTTTCCCACGAATCCCACCCCACTTGGACACGTTTCCTTTCAATCCTTTAATGCATGTTTTAGTTCTTTTCAATTAATGGAGTAAATTATAATCCTCCAAAGTCCTCCCAAACCATTCCTTTGCCATTTGTATGGCGCATAGAATTCATTCAAGACACACTAATACATACATACATACATACATACATATATATATATATATATATATATATATATATATATATATATATGGATAAATTGAAGGAAGATCAGACTCGAATCTTTTAAGGAAAATTTGGCATCTCATTCCTTCCTAAATATATATGTTACATTTCCTTTCCTTTACACCCTCTTCTCTTACCAAGTATGAACATTGCAACATGCATATGGTGTGTATATATATATATGGATATAAGGTGTGGCCCATAACTTAATTTCGTGGGAGGCTGGCTATGTGTATGTACGAGGCCATCTGTATGTGTAGTTGTTATCTGACAATATTGAATCTTGACAATATGTGTTTTGCTATCTGCAATTAATCCACTCTAGTGTCCATCGATCTGGTCTTTGGAGCTAGCTGTGTGGTACTTGTACAATAGATTTACAAGATCTCTGATTTGAAAAAATGGCACTGAACTAGATTCCAATTTCACAACAAGGATTGATTGATATAAATATGTACACACACATATATATAGATGAATATGTGTATGTGTGTGTGTGTGTGTTTGTGTGTTACATAGGAAATTAAAACATAAACAAATTTATGTCCATATTTATAGTTATAATAGATTAATTTTTTCATGACTCATAAATTTTAATTATTTAACAAAGTTGGTTAATTACAAAACAAAGGTGTATCAAAAGAAGCACTATTTTTAAAAATAACAATTTTCTATCTACTAGCATAGATAAAGGAGGATTCTCCTACCATAAAGACGTTAAACATGCAATAATATTTAAGAATTTAAGGCTGCATGTAGCTTGTTTGGAAGAATCTTCACGAACATATAATTAAATATATACTCAATATTTCCATTGTTGGTATCCATGGCCAGTTCGAAAGTTATAAGAAAGAAGATTGTTAATACAATCAATTTTCAATTTTATATAGTTAGGTTTTCTTTCATGCGCTCATGTCTCATCATTGTCTAAATTTTCTACAAGAAAATATTTGAAGGATATATATATATATATTTGTTTTTTCAAGGCAAGAAGTATTAGATTTTAGATTAGTAGATATAGAGAGTCAAAAGTTGACACTCTAAATTTTACGAAAAACACTAATTCATTGGGCTATCAAGACTTCAGTTAATTTGAAGGACAAATTAGCTAGCTTATATTTAAGAATTCCATTAACTTTTACAAAAGTTCAATATTATATTAGTTTTTTTGGTTCAGGTATTAATGATTACACCCAACTTCTCATTTAATGGCCAAATTTTCAGTGGACCTATTGTGGTGGTGGCCTGGCACCCCAAAAATTCTGAAAATCCCCTTCTTTCCTGTTAAATTACCTTGTACAACACTCTACTGCAGTACAATATATAGTAGTACTATGTACAGCATGTATATATATAATATAACATTTCCCATTTATAGCTTTCAAAATTAATGTTAGTACTCCATTTCTTAACTTAGTCCCTCAAGGATTTTTAATACAATATAATTAGTTGATGAAGTTGATGTTATAACATGAATCCCATTGTTAGTTTTCTTACCTAATTTTCGTTTGCTCTAATTAATTATAGTATATAGTCTAATGTATTCTTTATTTCATAGTATTGTGTAGTCTTCGATCATTGGCTAATCAACATACTGTGTGATCATCGATCTACAATATTCAATGTTAAATTAGTTGATTCTTACTACTTCTTTATGATATAT